AGGTTTAAGACATCCATATTTTCACCCTCTATCTCTCTAATAGAAAATGGTTGCTCATCTAGTCATGCTGAGCTTCCTGCTTTTGTGGTTTACTTTGACAGTGTCTAGCTATGTGGCCTTTTTTTCCACATGACCAACACGCTCTGGAATTATCAGTTGAGCGTGATCCAAAACCTCTTCCCCTTACACGGCCTCGGCCCCTACCTCTGGACTGCTGATAAAACACAGTGTCCTCTTCCTCCTGATAAAACACAGTGGATTCTTTATTTTTATTCTTTTTACTTTTTATGACTTTCTCTGCATGCAGGGCGTGATTTATATACTTTTGGAGTGTTGCACCACTCATCTCTATGTGGTGACGATTTACCCATTCTTGAATTACACATTCTTCCACATCCTTCTTTGGAGAGGGAATTCCTTCTACTGCTTTTCTAACATCTTCCTGTGTCCAGGTTCTGTATACCATTACTGTGGCTGGTTGTTGGGCATTCCCCTCAACCTGGCCTGCTAAGGGGTTTGGTAATTCTATTAAAGGAAGCGTGAGGACTGCTCCTTCACCTTCCAGGTTCACAGGCATCACTCGGGGTGTCCGTGGAGACAGAATGTCATTAAATGTTGTCGCTAAAGTTTTTGACCAATCCCCTACAGAACCTTTGGACCTAGTAATATATCCCTGGGAGGTATCAGCTTGTGGAGAAGCTACTTGAGGAGGGGCTATTTTCAATGGTGCTTCTACATGTTGTGGGGGAGTATATCGTGGAGGATCCCCCGTGGGTGAGAGAGCTGAGGGATCGGCTGCAGCGGCAGCACCTCCCATTGGTGGGAGATTATGTATTTGATGTATCAGGCTAGAATAGGGCCCTGCATACTCATCATCCTCCTTTCTATGAAACATAACTGATCTTTCCTTTTTCTTTTTTCTTTCTTCACTTTCCCTTTCTTCCTCTTCTTTCTCTTTTCTTTGTCTCTCCCCCTCTCTCTCTTAACTCTGCGCTCTCCCTCTTCTCTCTGACCTGCCAATTTCATCCAGACCATGGTTTGCATGTAACCTTCTTTTGCCATCAAAGTGTCTTTATTTTTGCTCTTTGTTTTTATTTTTTGTTGCAAATCTTTTATGTTTGTGGTGCTCAATTTGCCATTAAAACCGTAGTTTTTATTCAGTGACACAACGGCTCTAACGCTGATGGGTCATCATTTTCGACTGCTTTCCAATCTTTGCACTGGAGTTTCTCTAATAACTTCTGTTTTTCTTTACTTTGCCCTTTTCCCATTTTGAACTAAATTTGGGCCCAGTGGGTTTTCAACACCTGTCGTGTTCTAAACACTGGGGCTTCAGACAAGATGGTGATCAACTACTTTTTGTGGTAAAACTCACTTCAACCTTTACAGGTGGAGTTTTCTTGTCTACAAACATCCACAAAAGCTCACCATTTAACCCTTGTCTTTTTGGTATGAAATACAGATATCTAGTGATATCTATATTTCCTTTCACACACACACTCACACACACACTGCGCAGTTAACTTTTACTTTATTTTAAACACAGAGGACGCCGCCATCCTACGCAGAATTTAACTAGTTTACAACTCGGGGAACCTGCCCTTACAAACTAGGGCAGCCTGCCCTCCCGCGGACTTTAACTGTTTTAAAATTTCTGTTTTACCTGATACAGTCTAGAATTGTCAGGGTTTTAGTACAAAAGGGGGACCTCGTTACCCCATGCGGAATTTAACTATTTAAGATAGAGGACACCGCCGTCCTTCACGAGGTTTAAACTGTTTGCACAGGGGAATCTCGTGACCCCACGCTGAGAGGACTTCGCTGTCCTTCACTTCTATCTTTTTTTTTTATAATATATTTTTATAAATTTTTATATTTTTATATATTTTTCTTCCAATAATTCACTCACTCCTTATTAAAAGAAAAACTACTCACAATTCTCTGCGTCCTCGAAATGCTTCAACCGTCGGACCCCAGCTTGTAAGGGAGAGACCAGTCCCGTAAAGGGTCTCTTTGCTGCGGCCGCAGGCTTATCTGGGTCTCACTTACCTGCTGGGGGTCGTCGGGTATCTTGCAATCCGGCTCGAAGGACCAATTAATGTTAGGTTTAAACACCAAACATTTTATGCAGTAACCTGTACAAAGGAAGACACAGAGAATTTTAGTATAATTTACTTGCAAGGAGAGTGATCAGAGACTGTTCAGTTACAATTCTCCAAACCACTCTGAAAAAGTCTCCGCTCTACCAAGCTTTTTATTAAGGAAACGCCCTGGCTACAATGTGGTTCCGACTGCTAAGGGGAGGGGGAAGGGTGAAGCCAGTCGGAACCAGAAGGGAGGGGGTGAAACCCAGTCGGTACCAGAAGTCTGCATAACATCATACAGTATCATGAGATAAGAGCTTTCACTCCTTTCTCCGGTGTTAGTGAGTGCATTTCCCCGTGTTTTCTCCTTGCTGACCTTGAGCAGCCAGCACTCCATCTGCACACACTAATAACAAGCATTAGAAAGACAGCAAGTGAAACATTTCAACACTTTGTGTAATACAAGTATACAGGAATATGCAAATGTATAAATATGAATGTATAAGTATAATATGATTAAAGTAGAATAACTTGTACAATTAATCCAACAGTCACCCTGCCTGTGATCAGTGGCTTATGTTTTAAAAAACAAAAATAATCAGAGGGTTGCTCAGTATTCTGCCTTTAGGGGCTTAGTTAAGTGTCTTCAGGTGAGAGTAAAGAAAAAGCCTATATAAAGCCTTTTCCATCCTCTCCAGTCTATAAAAGGAACTGGGGTGGATGCCATGTGCATCTTCCTTTAAAGCTCCCAGAAGGTGAGCTGCTGTGTTCACCACAGCACAGAGCTCCTTCCAGTCGAGGCAGGGTGAGGGAAGAGGTCAACTGCTCCCCAGTGCAGGACAAACATAGCTAAGGCTCCAGTGTAGACTCACCAGTTCTCCCAGCATGCGTATATTTGGACTGTGGGAGGAACCAAAGAATCTGACAGGGGGAAAAGTATTTCCTAATGTCCTGCTGTGATATTGCTGAAACACGTAGAGAGTAAAACTCCTCTAATGAAGATCCACTCTGGGTAAAATGCGCTAAACTGTCCTCTAGTTTATCACGCAGGTGGTTATGCAGCAAATAGAAGATAGATTGATGATGGTGGCGTTCTTCATAGATGTTCCTGCTGCAAAATATTTCAGCCCTGATGCTCCCTTTAGGATTCAGAGTACTTAGCTAAAGTTACTGCTAATATCCATCATCCATCCATCCATCCCTCCATCCATCATCCATCCATCCATCCATCATCCATCCATTATCCATCCATCCATCCATCCATCCATCCCTCCATCCATCATCCATCCATCCATCCATCATCCATCCATTATCCATCCATCATCCATCCATCCATCCATCCATCCCTCCATCCATCCCTCCATCCATCCATCCATCCATCCATCATCCATCCATCCATCATCCATCCATCCATCCATCATCCATCCATTATCCATCCATCATCCATCCATCCCTCCATCCATCCATCCATCCCTCCATCCATCCATCCCTCCATCCATCCATCCATCCATCATCCATCCATCCATCCATCATCCATCCATCCATCCATCCATCCATCCATTATCCATCCATCATCCATCCATCCATCCCTCCATCCATCCATCCATACATCCATCCCTCCATCCCTCCATCCATCATCCATCCATCCCTCCATCCATCCATCCATTATCCATCCATCATCCATCCATCCATCCATCCATCCATTATCCATCCATCATCCATCCATCCATCCCTCCATCCATCCCTCCATCCATCCCTCCATCCATCCATCCATCCCTCCATCCATCCATCCATCCATCCCTCCATCCATCCATCCATCCCTCCATCCATCCATCCATCCATCATCCATCCATAATCCATCCCTCCATCCATCCATCCATCATCCATCCATCCATCATCCATCCATCCATCCATCCATCATCCATCCATCATCCATCCATCATCCATCCATCCATCCATCATCCATCCATCATCCATCCATCCATCCATCCATCATCCATCCCTCCATCCATCCATCCATCCATCATCCATCCATCCATCCATCATCCATCCATTATCCATCCATCCATCCATCCATCCATCCATCATCCATCCATCCATCATCCATCCATCCATCCATCCATCCCTCCATCCATCCATCCATCATCCATCCATCCATCCCTCCATCCATCCATCCATCCATCCATCCCTCCATCCATCCATCCCTCCATCCATCCATCCATCCCTCCATCCATCCATCCATCCATCCATTATCCATCCATCATCCATCCATCCCTCCATCCATCCATCCATCCATCCATCCATTATCCATCCATCCATCCATCCCTCCATCCATCCATCCATCCATCCATTATCCATCTATCATCCATCCATCCATCCATCCCTCCATCCATCCATCCATCCATCCATCCATTATCCATCCATCCATCCATCCATCCCTCCATCCATCCATCCATCCATTATCCATCCATCATCCATCCATCCATCCATCCATCCATCCATTATCCATCCATCATCCATCCATCCCTCCATCCATCCATCCATCCATCCATCCATCCATCCATTATCCATCCATCATCCATCCATCCATCCATCCCTCCATCCATCCATCCATCCATCCATCCCTCCATCCATCCATCCATCCTTCCATCCATCCATTCATCATGAACATAAAAGAAAGCTCAAATAAGATATTCGGGGCATGATACAGTAAACCAGTCAGCATCAGCACCAGTAAGATTTCTTAGTTGCACTGCATGAGAGTTGGAATCATTACACATGTCTGGAAGAGAATAAACAAAACAAAAGAACTTTCTTTCCAAAGTCGAAGCATTTCTGCAATATTTAATAGCAGCGACCTCCTTATGTAAACGTGCATTGAACCTTCCCTTTTCTTCTTGATGTGATATCTTCCAGATGATGGGAAGGTGGTGAAGGCTGTGTCTGTCATCAAAGACAACTGGGAAACAGAGGAGGTCATTCTGGAAGAGCTAACCGTGTTCCAGGTGAGATTATTCCGAACCGATCCGTCTATCAGCCAGTCAGAGCAGCAGCTGCAGGCCCAAACAGCCTCCTATCGGACAGATTTACTCCAAACTGATGTAATGGATCAGGACTTTTAAGGCTAAGAGCTTGTTTTAGTATCTCCTTGTGTTCCTCTGCCAATCCTGCAGAGTGTGTTTCCCCACAGGAGGCCTTCTTTAAGCTCCCTATGGGACATGTTTGTCCAGAAATCTGTTCTCATTATAAAACCAGATGGAAAGGCACATATTTTCCAAAATCGTCTGAGTGAAGAGACATCAGAGAGACGAAAAAATACAATTTTGAGGAGATGAACCTAACATGAGTGGAAGAAAGGTATTTTTTGATAAGATCAAGATACGATTTCATCCTTCAATTTTAGCGTGAACAGACATATTTCCAGGAAGCAGGAGCAGAAGGTCTGGTGGAGTCGTTTGAAAGCGCTGCTGGTTCCTCTGGTTTCTGCTGAGGGCCAATTTGCGGTCTGACTGGGTTCCCTGGTGCTGACAGAACGGAGGACGGCCAGATCCCCCCTTAAAATACTCCCAGCGACTCCCCCTCCCTCCTTCAGCTCGACCTCTCGCCTCAGAGCGGTCACAGGTCGCAGACTCCTTTTGTGAAACGCTGAAACAAGTCAGTGACCCAGAAAAGTGACGCTGTGGGGAATCTTTAGCCCTGTGAAGAAGAAGAAAGAGACTTATTTGATTTCTAATCTCAGTAGCTTCCCTGACCCCGCACTCAGTTGTAGTATTTCATGTTGCTGTGAGGCATTCCTCGCCCTCCGCCTGCCTGAATTATGGCCGCTGTTAAAGACAAACTAGGGTGGGATCCTGTCGGTCATACAAGTTCGCCTTCATTCCTGCATTCCTGCAGGTTTGACCCTCTGTCAGAGTTGTTTATGATGCAGCCTTTTAAGGATTAATTACATTACAGGTAAAAATAGTTAATACTCGCCTGATTGCTCCCTGGACGCCCCACAATGGCAGCCCACTGCTCCCCAAGGAGATGGGTTAAATGCAGAGGTACATTTCTCCGATGTGATCAATAAAATGAAATTATTAAAAAAATATTGTTATTATTTTAACATGTTAATTTGTATCATACACTACCGTTCAAAAGTTTGCGGGTCACATTGAAATGTCCTTATTTTTGAAGGAAAAGCACTGTACTTTTCAATGAAGATAACTTTAAACTAGTTTTAACTTTAAAGAAATACACTCTATACATACAATGTGGTAAATGACTATTCTAGCTGCAAATGTCTGGTTTTTGGTAATTGATGATTAGAAAACCCTTGTGCAATCACGTTCACTCATCTGAAAACAGTTTAACTCGTTACAGAAGCTACAAAACTGACCTTCCTTTGAGCAGATTGAGTTTCTGGAGCATCACATTTGTGGGGTCAATTAAACGCTCAAAATCTGAAACTGGACAGTCTATTCTTGTTCTTTGAAATGAAGGCTAGTCCATGCGTGAAATTGCTAAGAAATTGAAGATTTCCTAGAACGGTGTGTACTACTTTCTTCAGAGGACAGCACAAACAGGCTCTAACCAGAGTAGAAAAAGAAGTGGGAGGCCGCGTTGCACAACTGAGCAAGAATATAAGTACATTAGAGTCTCTAGTTTGAGAAACAGACGCCTCACAGGTCCCCAACTGGCATCTTCATTAAATAGTACCCGCAGTAGCCTGTTTGTGATGACTTCAATATTACGAGAATGAAGTCATCATTCAACAACCCGTTTAAGAAAGAAAACTTGGAGCTCCGCCCAGCAGATGACGGCCGACCAGCTCCACCAATCAGCAACCAGGGTCCACTTTGACATCCTGCCGATACATGTAAACAGAGTTTTATGGGGTCCCCAGGAAATCCTGATTTAGTGACAGTCTGACAAACAAACATTGGTTGGTTTTGAATCAGGTTGAAGGGAAAGTGATTTGATTCAAGCTTTTTAATCTTAAATGTCATCACCTGTTGTTCTTCAGAATCACTTTCTTACTTTTTAAATAAAAGTCGATTGTATTTTTAATCACTGCTTGATGTTTTATCCCACAGACTCCCACTCCCATCCTCAGCATGGAGCTGTCTACTAAAAGAGTAGGTTTTACTTTTCTGCTGTCTTTATGTCCAGCGCTGATATAAAACATTTTAATTATTTGATTCTATCCTTTTTTGATTAATCAGATATTTATTTAAAAAAAAACACATTTAGTGAAACCAATAACTTAAGTTTGAATCTTGCTAATAGACACTAGTTTAAGCATTTTTTTAAACCTCTATCTTTTATTCATGGAAGCTTGAGATTTGATCAAATCTGAAATAAAGAGTTTGGAGATATAGAAACGGAGCTGAGGGATAACAGCCACTGCTTGAGCAAATATGATGCCTCAGGAATATCATCAGTCTGAGCTCCTGTGTTTCCTGTCCTCAGGAGCAGCTGTACGTCTGCAGTGAGCTCGGCCTGGTCCAGTTGAGTCTGCAGAGGTGTGAGCTCTACGGGGCCGACTGCGCCGAGTGCTGCCTGTCCAGAGACCCCTACTGCTCCTGGGACGGACAGACCTGCTCCAGATACTTCCCCACCAGCAGGAGGTACAGGCAATAAGTCAGGAAGGACCGACGTCCTTATTATCTGCCTTAGGAGTCACTTTATAGACAGAACACTGAGCTAAAGTCTTCATCCATTCAGCCCTCAGTTCTTGTGATGTCACAAAGTTTGTTTCAAAGGAAAAGACAGCAAGGAATAATCAATGGATCATCATTTATGCATAAAACTAATATGTTTGCAGTGATTTAAGGAATTTAGCATTAATTAGTAAAAAAAATAAAAACAATAATTTTCGTTGCGATCACTGCGATCAACTTACAGCCAGTGCTAGAAACATTTCAGAGTTTTTAAAGTTACACAACATGCATAAAAACCAACAGTTAAACTCTTTAAAGATCCTGAAGCGGAAATACGTTAATAAGCTTAGATGTAGAGCATCTATGACATCAGTCTTCAGGTCAACAGATTCTCTACTAGGTCTAGGTCTGGACTTCCACTGCATACCTTTAAGACATGAGAACAGTTTAATGTAAACCCAGGCTGAACGTTCAGACTTTAACCCCAGATTTAACTCCAACAGCTTCCTGATCTGTGCTGTAGAAAAGCATGCCCACAGCATGATGCTGCCAACGCCATGGATCAGCAGAAAGTTAAAGGAAAAGTCCGGTCAGCAGGAATAATCAATGGATCATTATTTATACCTAAAACTAATATGTTTGCGGTGATTTACTGAATTTAGCGTTAATCAGTGAAAAAAAACAATGTTTTTCATCGCGATCACTGAGTCTGGGAGCGGCCATTTTTGACCAAATATAGTAACCCCTCCCTCCTGCCATCTTCCAGCAGTGACGTCACGGTGCGGTAAGCCTAGCGCCATTCTCCCCGCTTTCCAAGCTAAATCAATGGGAACTACTAGAAACATCTGCAATCAACAACAATTATTGAAGATTTCCAGAGGACTTCACCATTGAAATTCACCAGAGCTATAGTGAAACTGACAATGCCCACGTGCATGGCAGCTGGATGCTGGAATACATCGGGTAAAAGTGAAAAAAAAAAGAGTTATTCCACCTTTCTGATCCCTGATCCTCCACGGACGGGTTGGTCGTTGGATCGCCAACTTGAAGAGGGAGGATTTGCCATCGAACTTCTGGCCAGAGAAAAAACCCGTAATATGTAGCCAACATTTGGAAGAAGAATGTTTTCAAGATGACTTGGATAATAGCGCGTTGTGACAAACACCAGATACAGCACTGGGACTTGATCAACAGCCGATACCGCACCGTGACGTCACAAACCAGTAGGTGGCAGTAGTGTTCTTTGGCAAACATGGATGCCTCCAGTAAAGCACATTCACATGAAAATTACTCTGAATTAAAACAATTGTCATTTATTGAACAATATGTAATATTTTAATATTTAAAGTACTTTCAGAAGTTTGAATTCTGAAGACCGGACTTTTTCTTTAACATCACTCCACAGAATGAACATGAAATACTGAGAAAAAAGTCAAAATTCTTTTTTAAAAAGTAGGCATCATGCTAGCTATTATCTACTTACTCATTTACAGACATGGCTTTGCTAAAGCATCATTTCTACGTCAATGTTTACACACTTTATAATTTAATAAATAAATTTTTTTCTTGTTGTTTCCACTTTAACTATAAAAACTATCAAAATTCATATTGAGGGCCCCTAAAAGTTGTTCATCCTTATTCTTTTCAGAACAAACTAAAAAATAATTCTGAAAACTACATTTTATGTTCTTTTCTGTGAAGAACCTGAGTTTCTCCTTCAGACACTGCATATTGTGATCTTTGTTTGTGTGTCAGGCGAGCTCGCAGACAGGATGTGAAGTATGGAGACCCCTGGAGTCAGTGCCCAGTCACAGAGGAAGGTAAAGATCTCCAGTTAAACTCCACATCATCCACTTCATGTCTTAGTTTGCAGCATCTGGACAGAATATGAAGCAGATCTGAAAGGGAGCTGAAAACAACCAGATGATCAGATCAGATCATCTCCAGTTTCCTGTTTCAAACACTGAGTTTCAATCAGATCAATAAGATTTCATTTGGACTTTGTGTTCTTCATGCTGAGAACATCAGAGCTGCTGTTTGCTCACTGAGATCTTCATGGGTAAGATTTTGTCTTAGATTTTTCTTACACCAGAAAAACCATAAGAATTCACCCCAGGTCTCATTAAGTTCTTGTAGTTTCTCCACCAACTAGAAAAGTTGGCTGCTTACATTTAGTGTTTTTTGTCTTGTGCTTTTCTCTTGTCAGATTCAGACTCCGTGGAAGTGAAGGTGGTGTACGGCGTTGAGGGAAACTCCACCTTCTTGGAGTGCGTTCCTCGGTCATTGCAGACGGAACTCAACTGGACATTACAGCTGCCAGAGAACCAGCAGAAAACCGTCAGACAGGTGTTTGCTTCATACCAACACCTCAGATCGGACGCACCTTTACCTACTTCAATATTGACATTCAATGACATGAGATCTGGTTAAATTAGTCTCCATTCATGCAGATAATATCATAGAACATAAAATATCTAATATGTTTAATGCTGCTCTGTTCAGTGTTGGACTTAGAGGTTAGAGATTTAGTAGAGCTCTGGCATAGTGTTAACACTTCAGCACTCTGGGGCATGCTTCGGTGGTGCATGTACAGAGGCCTCAGTCCTCGACGCGGCAGACCCGGGTTCTAATCCGACCTGTGGTCCTTCGCTGCATGTCTCTCCCCCTCTTTCATATCCCCTTTGTTGTCAGCCTACTGTCCAAAAAAAACAGACGAGTCACTAGTGCCATAAAAACTAAAAGAAAACACTTCAATACTGAGACTGAGCCTACAGCCTTCAACAACAGGTATGCATGTTCATCTGGAGGAATCTATAAACTATAGTTATAAGGTAATAGGCAGGTTGTAACCACTAAGACACCTTTGAACAAGTCCTTGTTCCACATATCAAATTGGAGGTTATTTTGGACTATCCAATTCAATTCAGTTCAGTTTATTTCTATAGCTCCAATTCACACATGTCATCTCAAGGCACTTTCCAGTTCACCAGATCATCCAGTCAGATTGATTCAAAGTTTTCTATCTAAGAAAAACCAGCTGATTGCATCGACTCATTGACTTGAACGCAATCCCTCACACTAAGCATGCTTGTAGCGACAGTGGAGAGGAAAAACTCCCTTTTAACAGGAAGAAACCTCCAGCAGAACCAGGCTCAGTGTGAGCGGCCATCCAATCAGGCCCACTGGGGTTCAAGGAGACAGAAGCAGAGACACAAAAAGCAGCTGTAAAAGGCGGCCCCGTCCAGGAAACACACAGCCAGGCAGACGAGCTCCAAGCCAGCTCCCATGTCAGAGGATGAAGAGAGCACATCCAGTTAGTCACAGTCAGAGAAACAAGACTACACTGGAAAACAGGCCAAGCTCCAACATCTAGAAACAAAGGTTTATAATTGATGTCCAACTTGTAGAACAGAATTTGTGTACTTGTACTTGAAATTTGAACAGGTGTAAAAAAAGATTGTACAACTTCAAATTCACATTTACAATGCAGAAATAGTTTTGAGACAAAATAACCTTCATATGTATATATGGATGGATGCATGGATGGATGGATGGATGGATGGATGGATGGATGGATGGATGGATGGATGGATGGATGGATGGATGGATGGATGGATGGATGGATGGATGGATGGATGGATGGATGGATGGATGGAAAGTTTATCCTAAAACCCTGAACATGAAAGATGAGCTGAACTCCAACATCTTCTCTCTTCCTCTCAGCTTTCTCTGACTGATGAGGACCGCTTCCTCCACATGAAGCGAGGGTTGCTGGTTCAGCGCCTGGAGCTGACTGACGCAGGCCTCTACACCTGCACCGCTCAGGAGCGCTTCTACAGCCAGGTCCTTGGCCGGTACCGAGTTCACATCATCCCCAACAACAGCCTTCATCCAGCCCGCTACCAACAGAACCTTAACCACCCGGACCTCCTGAGCCTGCTGAGGACCGGCCCGGCTGTAGCAGGAGTCTCTGGGTTTCTGGGTCAGTCTGAGGCCGTTCCTTTGCCGCCACACAGGAACTCATGGCTGCCTCCTCTAAGGAGCTACAAAGACCTGCAGATGGTGGGAACCAACAGTCTGAGCGTGGACGAGTATTGTGAGCACCTGTGGTACCGAGAAAAACGCAGACAGCAGAAACTTCGCAGTCTGAAGCTGAAACAGGAAAGCCGGAAGGCCCGAGTTAGGAGGAACAACCCCCCTGAATTTCCCCTTTAGTGCCCCGGAGGACTGGTGGACTCTGTTAGGACAACAGGTCCTTAACAGCCAGGGTTTTGACGGACAGGTCTCACAGAGACAGAAAGTACTGTAACATCTTCTGTTACAAAGTATTATTCAGCCTTAAAATATTAAAAAGGGAAGTGATGCATCAGGTCATAGCTGTCTAGTAGTTTTCCTCCAAATGTTAATTTAACTCTTTCAAACTGACGTGGGCTCATTTATAGAACCAAATGTAGATTTATTTCCTGCTTCTGTTTCCCTAAAGGGTTGGAAATATCTCCTCACTAATTCCTCAGATATTGTTTCCATCACTGCTGCTGCTTACTGCTGACTTCTGGGGGGGGGGGGGGGGGGGGGGGGGGGGGAACTTTTGCTTCAACAGAGAAAGAACCCAATTTACATTTTGGATTGAGGAAAAAATTGTATTCTTTTTATTTTTCTAATTTCACAAACCATGCACTGTGAGCACTCAGTAAATCAGTGAGTGAACGAATTTTTCCCAAAGGTGACTGTTGGAAAAAAGAGAATCAAAAACCACAAGATGAGCCCAATCTTTTTTGTTTCCTTAAAGATCATTTTGTCCAGAATGGAAATATTAGATCTGCTCTAAAGGTTCTATATCTCAGCATCCATACTTATTCCTTAATGTTTAACATTTCTTAAAGGAAAAGTCCGCTCATATTCAGAATAAAAACTTCTGAAAGTTCTTTAAATATGTAATTATTACATCCTGTTCAATAAATGATCAGTGTTTATAATTCAGAGTAATTTTCATGTGAATGTGTTTTACTGGAGGCATCCATGTTTGTCAAAGAACACTACTGCCACCTACTGGTTTGTGACGTCACGGTGTGGTATCGGCTGCACTGCAAAGACGATCTAGAAAGAAGTGAGAAATTCTTCAAATAAGTGTATTAAGCCTTCATTTTAGTAGATTTTAGAAATTAGATATTATTCACTTGAAATAAGACAATGCAATTACTTTTTCTTATTTTAAATGTAAATTGTCTTGTTCCATTGGCAAAGTGTCCCACTTACCACCTCAATTCAAGAAAAATGCACTTATTTTAAGAAAAAAATAACTTATTGAGAGTTCTTTTTTTTTGCAGAGTGTTGATCAAGTCCCAGTGCTGTATCTGGTGTTTGTCACAACGCGCTATTATCTAAGTCATCTTGAAAACATTCTTCTTCCAAATATTGGCTACAAATTACGTTTTTTTTCTCTGGCCAGAAGTTCGATGGCAAATCCTCCCTCTTCAAGTTGGCGATCCAACGACCAACCCGTCCGTGGAGGATCAGGAATCAGAAAGGTGGAATAACTCTTTTTTTTTCCACTTTTACCCGATGTATTCCAGCATCCAGCTGCCATGCACGTGGGCATTGTCAGTTTCACTATAGCTCTGGTGAATTTCAATGGTGAAGTCCTCTGGAAATCTTCAATAATTGTTGTTGATTGCAGATGTGTCTAGTAGTTCCCATTGATTTAGCTTGTAAAGCGGGGAGAATGGCGCTAGGCTTACCGCACCGTGACGTCACTGCTGGAAGATGGCAGGAGCACTGCAAAAAAAGATATCTCAATATGTCCTTTTTTCTTAAAATAAGTAACTTTTTTCTTGAATTAAGGAGAAATGTGAAAGTCTTTGCCAATGGAACAAGACAATTTGGTTTTAAAATAAGACAAAACAACTGCATTGTCTTATTCCAAGTGCATATTATATAATTATCTAATTTAAAGAGTAAAAAATACTAATTCCATTGGCAAATCTTATTTACCTGCACAAATTGAGACTAAATGCTCTTAATTTAGGAAAATTTTTACTTATTTCTAGACCGTTTTTGCAGTGAGGGATGTGTTTCTATATTTGGGCAAAAAGGGCCACTCCCAGATTCAGTGATCGTGACGAAAATTTATATATCTACCTTTTTACTGATTATCGCTAAATTCATTAAATCACCGCAAATTTATTAGTAGTAATCCATTGATTATTCCTTGCTGAACAGACTTTTCCTTTAACTTGCCTAATGGCTAGAAGAAAGCAATGCGAGTTTGAATCCCTGAAAACAAGTTAATACATTTGGATTAGTAGTAGTGTTTTTTTTTCACAGATAAGTTTTAGTTTGCGATTTATGTTCTGTCATTTTAAAGCTCAAACGGCCAAAGTGATGTAAAACCTGATAAAGTCATCAGGAGAGATTTCTCCAGCTTTTTGTCTTGAAAGGAAAACTTTTTATCAGAGATCCAACTGAAACTGTTGTGTGTTGAAAGACAAACTTTTCTGAATCTTCCCGCTGGTAAAAACTGCAGATAAGAGTGAGACCCGGTCCAGATGCATGATCAGTATGTGGTAAATATTCAATCGGAAACATTTTCTCCTTCTTAAAAACCTTTTAGGAACTGGTTCTCTTCCTGATCTGCTGATAATAACAGGATTTTTTTTACATTCTCCTTATAATCATCACCAAACTGTGTTGAACTGATGATGAATCTGAACCTTTTCCTTATTAACAAACTTTGCTCAGTTTCACACAGAAATGTTTGATCTCCAGAACTTCAACTGCAGCAAAGCAGCTGCTATTAAAGCTAAAATCTGTTTTCTGCTTGAACTTGTTTTAGTTCTTTGCTCCTTGATGCATTAGAGGAAATAAAAGCCTCATTGAACAGGAACACATGTGATGGACCTGGTCTTTTCATTCAGAGCTCCTTCACACCCGGAAAAAAAAGACTGTTCTTCGTGGCTTTTTTCTTCTATAAGATGTTTTCAAATGTAAAACAGAATAATGACATTTTGTATGTGAATAAACCACAAATAATATCTGACATTTAAAGTCAAATAAACTCAAATATATGTAACCTGTATGTTTTTGTCTCTTTCATCTGAATGGTTTCAGTGAATCAGGATGAGCCTTATCAGCCATGTAGAGCCACACAGAGCCAATCATTTCTTGCTATTTATTATGAGGACCGTGTGTTGATTCCTATTGACTTCCATTGATTTTCAGTCCTTCTTAACCCTTTCTATGCTCTGTCCCTAACAATGACCGTAACCATTACCAGTGCATACCTAACCTTAACCTGAGTTTAACTCTTACCTTAAGGCCGCTGTTCTGTCAGATCAGCATACCTATAGTTAATATGCATGACGTCAGATTTGCATTTATCCCTTTAGTTTTGTACGGAAAATAGACTTTAAACTACCTCTACGGGTGTGTATCCCTTTAGTTGTCACGATTTGGCTATGGTTAGTTGACCCAAAAGCAGAGGCAGGGAGGCAGAGGTGAATCTCTTGTGGATTGAATAATGATTTAATAGAAAACAAAAACAGGTTATCCAAAAATCCAAAAGGAAAACAAAGTCCAAACAAACATGAAACAAGAAGTCCAAAAAAAAAAAAAAAAACATGAAAACTAGTCTAACGTACCAGAAACCATGGAGACATCAGGGGAATCACAATCATAAGGAAGAAGGCACAGAGAGAAGGAGTTGGAGCGTGTACACGGTGTTTGACGAGGACCCAGCAAAGGGGAACTGAAGAGAGAGGGCTTTTAAAGGAGACTGAGACAAAGAGGAGGCTAATGAGGAAACTGGGAGCAGGTGTGCACAGAACAAGAGAGGGGAAGAGCTAGGGAAGAAGGAGAACACAAGAGGGCAGCAGAGAGCAACAAATAGAAACCTGGAAGACTGGAAATAACAATTTAACTACTAGGACTATAAAACATGGAGAAAAGAAAACTAAACACTAGAAGACGAGGAGTAAAGTAAGACTGAATACTCAAAAGAAAAACATAACAGAAGCATAAACCTGACATTAGTCTTGTACAGAAAAAACAGTTTAAGGTCAGATCATCATGCGCTTCAAAAAAACTAATCGAAAAGTAAGTCATTATATCGTTTTTTTTGTACATGACTAAAAGGATAAACATTCGTTGAGATAATTTAAAGTTTATATTTTGTACAAAACGAAAGGGATAAACGGGTATTGACTATGGGTATGCTGGTCTGATCAAGTATGCTCATCTGACAGAACACCGGGTCACACAGGTTGCGCATGACTTTTTACCCTCTGGCTGCGTATAAAAAGGCTTCCACTAGGCAGGGTGAGCAAATCCATCCAGATTTTGTTTTGTCTTTTTGTCACACAAATTAAAACAATTTCCCATCTTTTACTTGGACAAAATATATTTTTAAAGCCCACTGGTGCAGTTATAAAGCACCAGTGGGCTTTATAACTGCAGTGGTGCAGTTTATGTTTCAATGATTGTTTTTGCAAAGTCTGTCCTGCTTGCTATATACATGCGATGTGCAACTCCACACCTGACTCTTTCTCCGTGCAATCAACAGATTTTATTTTTTGTTTTCCACCAAAGCGGGTGTATATTACTTTTTAACCGTGTCTCTCTTCCTGTCAGACTCATAGATTTGGTGCTTAATTGCTGTGTAGACCGACTAAAATAGACCTGGGCTCTATCTCAGTCGGAGCTATGCTTCCCTCTGCAGGAAATCATGTCAGGTGTGATCATCCCCATTCACTGTCAATGAGCGCTAAACGCCAGGACCTCATCTGAAATGATTTTTTGTTGGATCAGTCCAGGGCCGCTGGAAGTAATTTTGTGGGGGGGCTGGGATTTTTATTTTTTTTTTGTGGACAAAGCAGATAGGCCTATTTAAAATACAATGAAAATAAATAATAAAGATTCACTACTTTATTGTCATATACACTTCCATGCAACCAGGGTCTGTAACACACAGACATCATCAGTTCTCAGGTAAATATATGCGCTAATAATTCAACTTCACAATAACACTGTAACAACTGGGCTGCAACTAACGATTATTTTGCAAATCGATTAATCTGTCGATTTTTTTTTTTTTTTTTTTAGATTAATAATTGGATAGCAAAAGGTTCCACAAAGAAGACTTTTCACGAAATTAAACAAAGTGAAACTAAAACGATTCCACTTGAGTTCTGGATAGAGCATACTGACAGACGAAAAAGCTTTTTATATCTTGAATACAAAGTGTTTATATATTTATTTAAGAATTTTGGTATAATTGCTGTTCAAAGTTTGTTGACCTGTAACCTAAAGGCATATTTTGCATTCTCGAAGCGATTAATCGATTACTAAATTGGTTGACAATTATTACAATGATCAATTAATTAAAAAGCTTAAAAAAAGTGCAAGACCTCTTGCAGCTCAGGAAAATACACACATATATATATATTTTCAGACATTGAACAAGGAAGCAGATTAGCTGTCTAGGCTGAGAATAGAGGGCCCAGTATTCACAGACAGACATATGTTGCATAGCAACCATATTAAAACACTTACAATGGGGCGTGGCGATATGGCACAAAAACCTAGTCTAAGACTTTATCCTACCTAATCCGGTGAATCATTTTTTCCCCCTAGTTATATAGTAAAAAAAAGACAAAGAGCATTTTCATAAATTGGCTTTTATATCACTCATTCTTCTGGAGGTTTATTTTAATTTAAAAGTAAAGTTATGGACCCTTGTCTGTACTGCTCCTCCTTCTCCTATGAAAATGAGGAAGATGAGTAGGTACACTGGGTTTACACAGAAAGGTCCATAAGAGTGCAGAAAGTTGTGAAAATAAAAAACCTGTTAATCAGTAAATTTTATAGTAGCGTAAAGGTTTATTTCTGGACTTTGAGCCAAACTAAATAAGGAAGTAGTTTTTGATTGTTGTTCCCAACAGAGAGACTCCCACACAATCAGATTCACCTTCAGACCAAACTAGCAGCTTCCTCTGAGTGAGTCCAGCTGCAGGAGAGAAAAGTGGAAACCTCCAACACTGCTGCTTCAAGCTGCTCACACTCCACACACTGAAGGTGAGTTGGACCAAGAACACCACTCAGAGTCACTTTGAGGGAAGTTAGTAGAGGAGGGAGGGGAGCCATGACTGACTGGACCTTCTGTGTTTTCAGCTTCACTCAGAGACTAAATGGCTTCCAGGTTAGAGGAGGATCTCTGCTGTCCGGTCTGTCAGGACGTCTTTAAGGATCCAGTTCTTCTGTCATGTAGCCACAGCTTCTGTAAGGAGTGTCTGAAGAACTGCTGGAGAGAGAAACCAGTAAAAGAGTGTCCAGTTTGCAAGCGGAGATGTTCTAAGTTTGCACCACCAGATTTGGCTCTGAAGAGCCATTATGAGACCTTAGAGAATAAAGAGCAGAGAGCTTCAGAGGGTCTCTGCAGTCTGCACACCAAGAAACTCAAGCTCTTCTGTCTGGACCATCACCAGCCAGTATGTTTCATCTGCAGAGATTCAGAAAAACACACTGGACACAGCTTTTCTTCCATCGATGAAGCGGCACTGGATATAAGATTAACTCTTTGTGAATCTCTAGAACATTTAAATAAGGAGCTGAAGGTCAGGAAGAAAGTTCAGGAGGAGTTTGATCAGACAGCAGAACACATGAAGGTCCAGGCCCGACACACAGAGAGGCTGATTAAGGAGCAGTTTAAGAAGCTTCATCAGTTTCTAGCAGAGGAAGAGGAGGCCAGGCTGGCTGCACTGAGGGAGGAAGAGGAGCAGAAGAGAGGGATGATGAAGGAGAAGATGGAGGCTCTGAGCAGAGAGATAGCAGCTCTTTCAGACACAGTCAGAGCCACAGAGGAGGAGCTGAGAGCTGAAGACGTCTCATTCCTGCACAACTACAAGGCTGCAGTGGAAAGAGTCCAGCGCTGCCCCCTGCTGGAGGATCCACAGCTGCCCTCAGGAGCTCTGATAGACCAGGCCAAACATCTGGGCAACCTGGCCTTCAAGATCTGGAGCAACATGAAGAACATGGTGTCCTACACTCCTCTCATCCTGGATCCAAACACTGCTGGTCCAGAACTCATCCTGTCTGAAGATCTGACCAACGTGAGCTTAGGAGAGAATCCAAAGTTTCCAGATAATCCAGAAAGGTTTGATGTGTGTTGTTCTGTCCTGAGTTCTGAGAGCTTTAACTCAGGGAACCACAGCTGGGATGTTGATGTTGGAGACAGTGACTGCTGGAGACTTGGTGTGTTAGAAGAGTCTGTTCAGAGGAAGGGAAGGATCCAGCCTGGATTGCTCCTTATGTTCAATGGAGGGGAATACTCAGTGGAGTCTCCAGCTGCTCTCTCCACATTCCTCTCAGTCCAGAAGAAGCTCCAGAGGATCAGAGTGAATCTGGACTGGGACAGAGGAAAGCTGTCCTTCTCTGATCTGGACACTAACACACACATACACACCTTCACTCACACCTTCACTGACAAGATGTTTCCATTCTTCAACACTTTGGGTAAAATAAAAATCTTACCCATGAAGATCTCAGTGAGCAAACAGCAGCTCTGATGTTCTCAGCATGAAGAACACAAAGTCCAAATGAAACCTTATTGATCTGATTGAAACTCAGTGTTTGAAACAGGAAACTGGAGATGATCTGATCTGATCTGACTGATCATCTGGTTGTTTTCTAGCCTGATAAACCAGACTAAATGTGAGATTAAATGTGTAATTTAGTCTGACCCCCGATGAATGAGACATCAGAAGATTGTTGATGAGAGCAACCCGCTGTTTTTCAAACTATGTCTGTGCCTATTGGCCAACGCTCTGACCAATGAGTGCAACTGACTGTGATGTAGGAAGCGTGACAGTGTTGTGATTCTATGTTCAAATGTATTCCCAGCCAGCTGGGAATTTATATTTCTGATACTTTAAGATGTTGATTGCCCTCCCTGGTAGGGGGGGTGAAATATCTTATTTAATCAGATATTATTTCGGCTGTTATATAGTGTTTATGACACACAGCCCTGTGTGTTAGAACAATAGATGAAAGAGTGATTCGAGGACTAATCCTGGTCAAACTGTTAATTCTGGAATTAATTCACCACAACTTCTGTTCAAAATATAAGAGTTTATTAACAAAAATCATTCAGCTCCACGTCAAGCATATTCCAGTTTAAGACTCTCAACTAAGACTAGTGAAACTAAACTAAACTAAACTAACTACTATGAACAAAGAGGAAGGGGGAAACATGGTTGAAAACCATATTACGGTTTAAGATGGATCTTGTGTTTGAAACCAAAGTTTATCTGGAAGAATTTGGGATCAGATCAAATTAGCTTTTCACTAATTTAGAGAATGTCATGATGTTACAAAGTTCAGAGCCAAATGCAGAAAACCGAACAGAGAGACCAGGGAAAAGGTTTAATGGGTTTTATTGAAGTGGTTAAACAGAGGGAGAAGTGTTGCTCTGAACACTGCTCAACCGGAACTGTAAAGTGAGGGGAAGACACAGTGGTTAGTTCAGGCTCAGTGGGGAATTTGACTTGTGAACTTGGAGAAGAGGATTTGGTTGCCGACTCACGTTTCCAGAGAAGTTTGTTGAATCCTTGACTCCTGTCTTTGTGCCTTGTTTCCAGTGTTTATCTGATTCGGTGGAGGGCGGAACTGGGTTTAACCAGAATGCGGTTGATAGTTGGTGAACGGAGAAACTGACTGCCACTCAGATTTCCTGCGGTACTTGAACGGGTTGTAGTGGAGAATAATCCCTTTCTCAGTGAGAAGCTCAAACGATTTCTTGGGGAAAGTGGATCCAAACCTCCTGTTTGAACCCCAGCTCAGTTTGAAGCTCAGTTGATCCTTCCAGGGAGAGAAGGTCCGAAAAAATCCAGTTAGCAGGATGACTTCCTGCTGAGAGGCAAAGACAAAAACAAAGTTAAACTCAGGTAGACAAAAACTCAGCTTGGCTAGAGTATCCAAATCTGGCAAACACTCTGGCGTCGAGGTAGTGGCAGTCAGCAGCTTAAGAACACTCCGTCTAATGAGGAAACCATCAGCAGGTGTGTGAGGAGGCGGACCAGAACCAGGCGCCTCCTGGTGCAGCAAGGGAGACAAACACAGAAACACAAACACAAAGACAGGAGTCCTGACATAAAATACACTATAACATTGATTTAAGACTCATCCTATTGAACAACTTGGCCACATGGCAACAACTCATGCCTTAATAAAATTATAAAACTACAAATACCATCTCCCCTGAGTTTTTAACATTTGTGGAACGTCATACTATTTTTTCTAAAACAGTGGTGTCCTTCATATGCCTGCTAATAAGCTACCATTTGATCCAGGTGTGTTGAAAAATAACTAAAACATCCTGGATGTCAGGTTGCGTGAAGGTTTAAAGGGGACCCAAATGCAGAGACGGATGCGGAAGTGGCTTCTTGAAGATTTAATATAGTTGCAAAGGGCAACAGAAGCAAAAGTCAAACACAAAATACAGAAAAAACAAAAACCAGGATCTCATGCTGTTTTTAAGAGATCTGACCCACATGCAGGAAACCACTCAGAGAACCAGAGTAAAAGTTTAACAGGTTAATTGGAATAAACAATAAGGTTGATCCAGGGTAACTCAGAGAGCTGTTGAACCGGAACTGGAAGTAAGACGGGAAGTTCAGAGGTTAGTTCAGGGTCCGTGGGAACTTTGAACAACGTCTTGCAAAAATCAGAGAACGGGACTCACGTTGGCAGAAAAAGGTTCTCTTCCCAGCATCCAGTAGGTGTGGGTTTTATCCAGTAACTGGGGGGCTCGTTGGAGGGCAGACAGGTTTTTGGTTTGGTTGGTTCCTTGAGGAGCAATGGAGCAGACTACCACTTCCAGGAGAACTTGAACGGGTCGTGTGGAGATTAATCCCCTGCTCAGTGTGAAGCTCAAAACAATCCTTCCAGGGGGAGAAGGTCAAAAATCCAGTTTGCAGGATGACTTCCTGCCGAAAAGGCAAAGACAAAAACAAGGTTAGAACTCAGAGAGACAAAAACTCAGTTTGACTCAGCTAAACTCAGCTGGGCTAGAGAACCCAAAACTGGCAAACACTCCTGCGACGAGGTAGTGGCAGTCAGCAGCTTAAGAGTCCTCAGTAATGAGCACAACCAGCCGCAGGTGTGTGGGAGTACCAACGAGAACAGGGCGCCACCTGGTGGTGGAGGGAGAGAACACAAACAACAAACACAGCTCACACACACTGGATTCCTAACACAGGAGATGTCAGGGAAATACACACGAGAAGCTTAGAAACAACCAGCAAACAGTAACTGAAGAGGAGGAGTATGAATGGGAGACTGAACAAAGACCAGGTTGACCAGCAGATAAAGAACAGGTGTGGATGGAAACATCTAGAAGGGAGCTAGGGGACGGAGACTGACACAAAGGGTAACAAAAGGTAAATACGTGAGAACTCAAAAATAATAAAAAACAACTAGAATAACACAAAATGGAAATAAAACTAATTAAAACTCAAAGAAAAAACTGAAACAGAACAAAAAGCATGACACCTGGATAGCTGTTCTTAAGGATGAAGTTAGAACTTTGTTGGAGACATAGTGTGGCCAATTGCATTTCAAGAAAGACAAACAGCAAAGCGGATTGCAAAGCTAAGCCCAGCCAAATGGAATGAGTAACAACTAGTACTGCGTTACTGTCCACCACTGGTGGTAAGTGGCATGGCTTGCACGATTCCAGAAATATATAGCTAAAGCAGAAGGAATTTCAGCCAAACCAATCATTTTTTATAAAAAACCCAGAAAGAAAAATTCCAGAAACACGGATCTTGTCTTCTCTCTGGATGTTAAATCACTGAGCTGCTTCACTTTCAGAGAAGTATAAAGATAGGTACCCTCCAAAAGTTCAGAAATCCCACCATTCCAAATCAGTGTCTCTTCCCTCCCCCCAGAGGCGGAGCTAGATGGGGGGCCAGGGCTGGCCATGGCCACCCTTAGCCAATCACTGGCCACCCCTGTGGCCACACCCACCATTTTTTCCCCTCTAAAACAGACGGTGGCAGCCGTAATACTCTCAAGTGGAAATTTTCAAAACATTTAAATTTTTCATATATTACATACTATTTTTTTTTCATATATTCATAATTACTTGACAAGAAAAACCCTGAGGTTAATTATACACATTAATACACTTACGTTAAAGATGATAAATACGGAATTCATGCTCTTTTCAAAACTAGATATTGAGTTATATGGGGAAAAGAGAACTTGCAAGTCATCAAGAGTCTTCAGCAAAATCATAGATAAATAAATAGTTTCATTAAAACGTGTTAAATAATCAATTTATAAAGATATTAGTACTTGTAAATATAAATTTTATGCAGAATGATTATTGATAAAAGTAGGTAAGTAATAGCAATAGAAAAGATTTACGCCCCAGAACTCAAACCTGAAAGAATTTTATCCACTATACCTTTTATCTAGAGAGCACGAATGTTTAAATATATTCCGTCTATTTGTTAGCAAAGGCTGTAGGAAAGTATAGTTTGTCTTATCTTTGGCTTGACCGTGAGGTTCTGGCACCTATCCACTATCTGCTACCCCTCAGTGTATATTGGTTATTGCCTGGCCACCCTTATAAACATTTTCTAGCTACGCCTTTGCCTCCCCCCCCCACTACAGCAGCAGCTGTAGGCCAGATTCGTTAGCTGATTACATCATAGCGCAGCACCATGGCCTGGTAAGAGTATTTAAAATTTTATTTCTACTGGTAGATATGTAATTATTGATATCTATAATACAGTTATGACTAGGAGTATTGTAATTGTGACTAGGTAGAATACTTTGTGCTATCTATAATAGAAATGTGAATAGTCAGCCTGTTTATTTTATTTTAAAACAGAGCCCTATTTCTTTTTTGAATGTTAGTCAAATATGTTTTCAAATGTCTAAAACTGCATTTTGGATATGCATTATTAAAATGTAGATACCTGAAATTCCATTTAACTAGTCATATATCAATAGTAGATATCTGTAATTACATTTCTGCTTGTAGAAATATATTTTAGATGTCAAGAATTGGATTTCTGGATATCTATAAAGTTATATTAATTCCTGATATCACAAATAATTATTTTGACTAGCAGTTACTCTATTATGGAGATCTGAAATTAGAAATAATCCTCGTCAGAATGCATTTTAGATAGGAAGAATGTTTATTTTTGATATCTGGAAGTAAAAGCCCAATACACATAAATGGGAAATGTGACATAATTTGTACTAGTAAGAATTACCTTAGATGTCTGAAATTTTCATTTTGACTAGGAAAAAATGCATTTAAGATACCTGAAATATATATTCAGTCAAGCTAATAAATCTCAAAAGGGCCACTTAAAATTTGTAAAGATTTGTAGGTATTTCTAGGTATTTAAAAGTTTATTCAACAAATGGAACAATAGAGAGGACAGCGCTTTTAATAACTGTCAAAACGGCCTGGAATATCTGATCTGCATACTTGTAGCTTTTCCTGGTTACTTACTGATGATGTCAGATTAAGTCGGACAGTTCCCGTTTGAAGACTTTGAGCCACATCTTCTCCTGCTGAGGGATGGTGGAGATGGTCCTCCATGAGTGTCTCCAAGCACTTTATGGTGGGTCTATAAAGCAGTCTCTAACTCAGAAAAAAAGACCTTGATGGTTACTTTAAATGTGTCACCTGTCGGTCCTGGTAGCCTGGAAAATGGGCTGGTCCTTTCTGTGGTCCAGGAAAGAGTCGACCCATCTGAAGCTCAAACCATTGAATTATTCCATCATTTCAAGTTTTATTAAAGTGGGTGATAGAATAATTATTTAGGGTATCTGGTCCTTCAGGTCTCTAATAGGGTGTGTTACACTGGTTGGGCTGAAAATGGCATATTAGCTGTTCTATGAGCCCTAATGCAGCCTGGTTAAAAACCCTAGAATGAAACAACAGGTTTTCTTCCTTTCAGGGGCAGATTTACCATTAGGCAAAAGTAGGCAGTTGCCTATGGCCCCAAGTTCCTGGGGGCCCCATGAAACTCCTTTTCCATACAGCTATTACTTATTTGTGCACATTAATTATGTTTTTAATAAAAATCCCTTCATTAAAAATGCCATAAGAATGCTTATAATATTAAGTGTGTCTCAGGCACAGGTGTATTTTAGACCCCTCTATCGCTTTTATTTCAAAAAGGCACCTAGCTCTAAATGTAGTGCCTTTTTTCTACTACTGGAGATTTTGGCGACAGCATCTAAAAGCAGCGAACTCTGCTCTCCAGAGCGAGTAGATTGGTAACCCCGCCTCCCGCTCTCCTTTATCTTGTCTGCTGTCATGATTCATGCAGCTATTATTTCATCCAAATGAAAAATGGAGAACAGATAAGCAGATCATGGCTTGTCTACAGTGAAAAGAAGGACTGGGTTATTTACTTTGGCCTTTTTGGAAACACAGGAAGGAGCAATCAGCTAAGTGAGCTTAGTTTCATTCCTTTTGAAACGACATGAAAAGTCAGCTGAGTACAAAACAGAGGAAAACAAGAAAAGGGATAAAACGTAGAACAAATAATGTCTGTCTATTATATTAAAATTTCTGTATCTGTATAATGGATCTGTTTTATGTTTTGTCTTCTTAATTCAGAGGGCCCCCTTCCTGTCTTTACCTAGGGCCCCAAATTTCCTAAACCCGCCCCTGCTTCCTTTTATGGTATAATCATGAATATTTAGATGAGCTGTGCTCTGATTGGTTGGTTTACAACGAGCGAAGCTGCTGAGCAAAGACGCATCATAGCAACAAGCACTCACTCACTGAAACATCAAAGTGTTGATATGGTAGGGTGACCAGACGTCCTCTTTTTCACTGACATGTCCTACTTTTCATACCTAAAAAATGTCCGGGAGGAATTTCAAAATCGTGGATTTTTGTCGACTACAGTGAAGCAGGTAGTGGAAACACACCGGGTGCTCGAACCGAGCCGTCAGCTCCAGGGCCGGGAACACCGGCGGATTGGGGCAGGGAGCCAGCCCTTTTTTTATGAACAAATCTTTGGATTTTTACATTTCACATTTGTTTTAGTTGCACTTGCATTGCCCCACAAAATGATGCATTTCCCAAACAAAATTCCTCGCACTTCCTGCACAGCAAGTATGGTCTTTAGGAGATGGGCAGTGTGTTTCGATTTGCATGGAGAAAAAAAATATTTAAAGTAAAATATGGTCTGAAATGTTAATAAAATGTAGTAGTTTTTAATGCTTTGCTGTAGAAGTTGAGATCATTTCTAAAACTGTTCACTGAAATGTTGAGATTTTCTGAAAATCAGGAGATTAAATATTAACAACAACATAGATTCACATATGTTTTTTTTTTTTGTTTTTTTTACCACAATTCTAATACGTCACATCAATAAATCCTAAATGTTAATATAAATTCTGCTCTTGGTGAAAAAGGCTGAACAAGGTCCAGGGATTGTAAATCAGGTTGAAAAAGGAAGATTACTCAGCCTTGTTGTCGTCTTTGCCATTCCTCAGTGCTATTACAAGTCCTTCCTTTAAAATGTTTATATCTTACACTGGAAAAACTATCTAGGAATAAGTAAAAATGTCTTAAATTAAGCGTATTTACCCTTAATCTGAGTAGGTAAATGAGATAGTTTGCCAATGGGATGAGTATTTTTACTCTTAAAATAAGATATTTAGATAAAATGCACTTGAAATAAGACAAATATCATTGTGTTTTCTTATTTTAAATGTGAATTGTCTTGTTCCATTGGCAAAATGTCTCTTTTACCTCCTTAATCCAAGAACAAATGCACTTATTTTAAGAAAAAATTGCTTATCTGGATTTTGGGTTTTATGCAGTGTATTACTTTTACTTTTGTAGAAGTTTGATAGTTTACACTGGAAAAAATCGAAATCTAAATAAGTAATTTTTTCTTAAAATAAGCGCATCTGTTCTTGGACTGAGGAGGTAAAAAAGACATTTTGCCAATAGAACAAGACAATTTACACTTAAAATAAGAAAACACTATTGTATTGTCTTATTTCAAGAGCATTTTTTCTAATTTCCTTATTTTAAGAGTAAAAATACAAAATAAAATCTTATTTACATACCCAAATTAAGGGTAAATATACTTAATTTAGAATTTTTTTACTTATTTCTAGATCGTTTTTCCAGTGTAGTTTTACTCTTCTATTATACACCTCTGTCTATTTGAAGCTTTATAAAGGATCATGTTGCATTTTGCAAAAGCTTTTCCTCTGAGGTTTTTATCCACCCATGTTATAAATTGATATTTTAATAAAAAATATGAAAAATAGAACGTTTTTACATTTTAAAATGTAAAGTGTTTTTTTTTTAAGTAAAGAACAACAACCTCTCAGTTTGGTCTATAGACAGTTTCCTGATTCCCATATTTTATAAAACCCCTGAACTGATGGTTTGTTATTTTCTTTCTTTTCTCTGTCTTAATGTTGGCAGTGGGCTTTATGCTGCCCTGCAAGGCTTTAAACCTGGGTCTGAATGGAGACTAAGCCATTCTCAAGCACATATCAAGGAGCTCATTTTGAGCCTGGATCCAGATTTATTGTTGATTCTGTTCATGGTGGAGAATCCTGCTTCACAGCAGCAGGTTGAGCCAAACATCCTCTAAATGTGCAGGGTCATCTTTGAGCACCATTTCACTTTTCTTTCACCAGTTCACCACAGTTCTTCCAGCAGTCCACACTTTCTCTGCTCTCTTTTTCTCACCGTCTTCTCCTTCTTTCCCATCGCCCGGCTTGCCACAGGTTTGCCTGCTGTGTCTAAAAGCAGACATCCCAAGTTCCAAAAACTCATACAAATTTATAGAAAATAGTAGTTTTAACGTAAATTAAGTCAAAAATATGTAATATTTCTCAATTTTAAATGTATATTGACCTCATAATAAATAGAATTTCTATTGAACCCAACTGAAAGAAATTTCACTTCATGCAGCTATATTAATATATTTGAATCCCTTGCCCTGTTTTTTATTTCATGCTTTTCTGGGCCCCCATGAAAACATGCTCCCCCACTGCTGGCCCTCTGGCACATTTGGTCTAGATTCGTCACTGTTTCTCCCCTTCACTAGACATGGATATACTTTAGTATATTCTGCTGTAAAATCAGTCTGATATTTTTTGTTTTTTACTCGAGGATTGAACCTCTGCCGTTTCACAGGATGCACAGCTTTGAGTGGTAACTAGGTGACTGCCAGAGAGTAACCCAGAGAAACTTATCGGACTGATCCAACGAGTTGCCTGGAACGCTGGTTGATCAGAGCATCGCTTTGGACAGATACGCAGCACTGGATTCACCAGCAACCTCCTCCTCACACCCCGCTCTCTCTTGTTGTTCCTGCGCAATCACAGTAGTTCTAATCCGCACATGATGCACAAATTATTTTATTGCTGGTTCGCTTTCACTCCAATTAAAAAAACACCACCTCCCATAGTCTAAAATCCTGGATAATTTATCCGACTCGCGGGCATCCATGAACAACTATCTATATCAGGGAGACTCCCGGAGCTTCCAGGAGACTTGGGATGTCTGTAAAAGTAGCAGCAACAGCAACCCAGACTGACAGATCATTGGCTAATTTGGATTATGTGCAGCCTATAAACATTAACAATGTAAATGATACTTTTTAGTGCATCTTTATAGCAGTTTTAAAGCTTGCATAAATTTTATTTGGGGGCCAATGTCAATGTCTTTCATGGGGCCCCAAATTCCTGCTGGCGCCCCTGTACTGTATATTTGTAGTAAGTTGTTACCCTTTGAAACTATGTTGCGAACATATGCTATACCCTTCACATCCAGCTGGTGGAGGTAGTGAGCAACAACATGCGATCCGCTGCGGTGAAACCAACAGAGAAGCAGGCTACCCGCTCTCTGGAGCGCTGATGGAAACGCGGTTCGTGGATAAATCCTTCGAGCTCCAATTTTCCTGAGTGAACAGAGGTGAAGAATATGTCATTAACAGCTTTGAGTGTCCCGGTTGGTTTCTAGTGTTTAACGGTGAACTTTAAGCTGCTGCTTTCAGTTTAACCGGCTACAGCTTAGCTCCTCAGTTAGCATCGTTAGCTTTTCTATGGCTTCAATCTCTAAGCTAAACTGTTTATATTATTGTCCTCATTTGCGTGCTTGTTCTCCAGAACAGTTTCTTTGTTGTTGGATTCGTTTGTTTAAATGTTTATTGATTATTTAGCTTCATGGTTTAAAGTAAAAACCTTGTGTGTGTTTGTTGTGCAGCTGCAGGTCTCCTGAGGTGAACTGGACTTTAGAAAGATGAGTTCTCCAAGCCTACTGCAGCCCAGCTTCCTGCTGGTCAGTCCCTGCTAACACCACCTGTTCACCTACAGCTTACTTCACTTATACCACAACATCTGTTTAAGTTATTCAGTTGCTTTATTAGTCAAACATTAGGAAAACTCTTTAGTTAGTAAATGTTTTTAACAGTTTAACCAGAGATGATGTGTCCAGATATCAGTTATTAGAATTATTGGGTATCTGTGCTGTTTACTCTTGAAGTCTATGACCACCTCCATGATCACAATCTGCTTTTTAACTCTATACCAGGGGTCTTTTTTCCAGGCAAACTATGGTGAGATGGAGCAGGGACCCCATAATTATATATATTGTATGAAATAGTGTTCTATCAAACTGGTCCTATAGTCACTCTATTACAGATGGAGTAATGTAACTAAAGTAATTTCTCCCTGGGATTATTAAAGTATTTCTGCTTCCTGGTTGATGGGACAGGTGTTGTGAATGAAACGGTGCCCAGCTTGAAAGAGCTCCTGTGTGTCTCTGAATGTGTGCATTGATGACTGAAAGACATCTTCTGCCTCCATTTATCTGTTTACTACAGTCTGTTAATTCATGTTCGTGTGGATTTAAAGATATTTCAATTAGTGGGAAAAAAGTCCAATCAACCAAAACTTCCGCGACCTCCATGCATTACCTCTGTGGACCCCATAGGGGTCATGGACCCCCTGTTGAAGACCTCCGTTATAACCCAATCCATCAGCAGCTTAGCCTTCACTCCTGCACACAGGTTCTTAAGATTGTCTGCCACCTGTGCGGCTGTGATGGGGAGCAGATTCTGCAAAGCAGCGTACATATTTAATAGAATTAAAAAAGAAGAAGGTAGATCTAGGATAAGATTTGGACATACAAGATTAAAGGAATAGTACACCCAAAACATGATTAGCCTTCATTTTCTACTCACCCCCATGCTGAACAACACCCTGGAGTACTTTTTTGATATCTCAAATGCATCTGGAGATCTGGGAGGCTTCTTGCTGTCTGCTGACATTCAAATAATGGAGGTGCCCAGCGCCCGAGGCAGAAAGGTCCATAAAAGTCCACAAAAAACGTGTCAATATTCCTCCATACTGCTCGTCCAATGTATTCCAAGTGTCCTGAGTGGGTAGCGTCCAGAATTTACTCGAAACGAAGTCATTTAGAATGTTTTTAGAGCATAAACAGTAGTGTATAGGATTTCCTGAAAGCGCGTTCACGACGCTACGGAAACCGCGGCAGACCAAACCGGATGAAAGTGCGCATTCAGCTCGGCAAAGAACTCATGCTCTTCCTCAACACTGAAGTCCTCAGACATTTTTCTTTCGTTGTTTCTTTCTTTGCACAGGTAAACAGCACATTTCTTCTTCTACGCTTGCATTATTGGCAGAGCAGACGCTGAATGCGCACTTTCATCTGGCTTGGTCTGTCGCAGTTTCCGTAGGCTCGTGAACTCGCAGGTGCACGCTTTCAGGAAATCCTATACACTACTGTTTATGCTCTAAAAACATTCTAAATGACTTCGTTTCGAGTAAATTATGGACGCTACCCACTCAGGACACTTGGAATACATTGGACGAGCAGTATGGAGGAATATTGACACGTTTTTTGTGGACTTTTATGGACCTTTCTGTCTCGGGCGCCATAGACCTCCATTATTTGAATGTCAGCAGACAGCAAGAAGCCTCCCAGATCTCCAGATGCATTTGAGATATCAAAAAAGTACTCCAGAGTGTTGTTCAGCATGGGGGTGAGTAGAAAATGAAGGCTAATCATGTTTTGGGTGTACTATTCCTTTAAATAGTACTCTTAAAATAATGAATAAGCATAATACAGGGTGTTTTATTTGTGGGAAATTAGAAACTGTCCAACATATTTTTTTAGAATGTGATAAATATACTCAGGAAAGAGAGATGTTGCGTAGAGAGTTAGACAGGAATAAAAATAAACTAGATATAAGGGAATTGTTTCTACGGAAGAGGATTAGGGCCACTGAAAAAAAAAAAAAGTTAACTGATTTTTAAATTTTATTTCAGTTTAACGTGGGAAAAAAAGTCAGAATTCTGAGATTAAAGTCAGAATTCTGACTTTTTTCCCATACTATACTGAAATAAAATAAAAAAAAAATCAGTTAACATTTTTTTTCAGTGGCCCTAATCCTCTTCCGTAGTTTCAAAGGTCATCGGGGGATGTATTTTTTGGGAGTATTTTTAGTTTTCTAAGAAGAATGGGTATTTTAGGGAGATTATAATAGTTTGTCTGGTCCATACTCCATTCTGGAAGGTGGCGGTAATGCACCTATAAGTTGTTTGCCAACCGCCATTAAAAAATAGAAGAAGAAGAAGCAGCGTACATCGTAGTGACCTTAGGAAAGTTTTGTCCAGGGGTCGGCGACCCAAACTGCTCAAAGAGTTATATTGGACCAAAGTAAGAAAAAACTTGTATATGTCTCGTAGGGCAACACGGACTCTAAGCGTATTAGATCACAATAAAAAAGGACTACTTGGCTTAAATATATAATAATCATTCATGATTAAATGTTTATCCTGGAGCAAATGTCACGTCATGGGACTCTGCTGTGCGTTATTCGGTGCTTTAAGTTTAAATTCCATTACAATATTAATGTATTAGGTTTTATGTATAGATAAAATTATATAAAAAAAATAAAGAAATATGATTTTTTTTATTGTTGATTTTTATATTGAGGATTTGGGTTAAAAAAAATGGAAGAAAGTTCCCACCCTGCATCACAGTACTACCTGTTGTTTGGGTTGGTTTTTTGTTCCTATTGAAAAAGATTAACACCATGTTCTGTTAAAATGTTTCTTTTTTTAAGGCAAACCTTAAAGCTGACGCCACCAACAAACCTCTGATGCATCGAATCCAGGACCTGATGAAGATCATAGACGAGTATCCGGCCAAGGTACGTCAGTCTGACTGAGGCGGCAGAATCTGAACGAACCACAAGTTTAGTTTGCCTTTTAGCCCCACGGCTGCCTTTCTGTGTTTAAAAACAGGAAGAGATGAAGGTTCATCAAACTGTTTTCATTTACAACTGACACACAAAAGCTTTAGAAAATGATAAGAGATTTTTAATGCCGCAGCGTTCCTGCTGAAGAATTCTCTCCCTTCTTATTTTCTTTTCTCGGATCTAGACTTTTAATTATGTTTTTAAAGCGTTAAACTTAAAAAAAAAAGCATGGTTGGTTTATTGGAAGTAAAGGATTCCTGGTTTTCAATATAAAATTTTAGGAAACTAAAAGTGTTTCATTAAAATTAGGACTGGGCAATTATAATGGGCTTTATAATCGCAATTTACAAAATGCAAAGGTACTAATTTTTAATTCATTAAATGTTTAAAATTGGTTTGTCGCTACACAGAAAGGTAGAGAGATTTGTAGCTAGCAGCAGATCCATACATGCAAGTAGAATTAAAGACTTTTTAATACAGTTGTTACAGGATAATCCTTTACTAATGGACTCTGAGCAAACAAGCTTTCTAAAACTGAAAGCCTGGGGTTGCTTGCGTTACTACAAGGGAAAATTGTAATTAATCACAATGTAGATTTTTAGCTAAATCGTTCAGCCGTATTTAAAACATGGTTGGATGGTTTTAAAGAAAAGAATGTGTTTTTACCTTAGATGTAGTTCCAGAGTCATCAGCGAGTCTTTGGATGAACCAATCACTGATGTTCTTTATCCGGTTATTGATTCTGGTTCATAAACTGCCTCCTGCACTGTAGCTTTGTTATCATCAAGAGCAGAACCTGCTGCAATCTATATGGTTTATGTGGAGCTGCTCCACATGGTTCAGTTGTCTCATAAAATCCTCCAGCATCTGATCATTTTTCTTCATTTAACCCATAATGTCAAATGTATCGTATTTGATACATACGGTTTCTGAAATGTTTTGCGTCTGACACCTTTTGCATAATTTAATGGTAAAAACTTTGCTCAAAATCCTATTGTACACAATCAGATATACCTGATAACAGAGGACAGAAGACTATACAAAAATAATCTTGACTTATCGCAATTATTAAAATAAAAAATGTATTTCTGTTTTTTCTTTTTACATATTTTGTTAAAAGGCCAAATAAGGGATTCAAACCAAAAAAAAAGTAATTTTCTGTTTTCTTTTATTCTTGGATCAGGCTTTAAAGGGTTAAGTCACATCTCCATCAGTTTTTTTATTATTAAACTATAATAACTCTTTATTTATACAGGTAGCCTCATTAAGACAGAAGTTGTCATTTATAAGAGACATGAAGCATCTGCAGTTTTAAGAGTAGGTCAGAATGGGACTGTTAATAAAGTGAAGGTTTAGAAAGTTTGTTAGTCGGAGGCTACGTTCACTCTACAGCCTGAAGTGACCCAAATCTCTTTTTTTTTTTTTGCCCATATGCGACCTGGATCTGATCTTTTCATGACAGTCTGAACAACACAGATCCGATTTTTTTCCAGTGCGATCCAGGCCGCTTGGCTCTGTGATACCAATCCGATCTTTTCAAATGCGACCTGTGTTTGAACGGCCAGGTCGCATTCATCCGACATGAACGGCATTAATAGCTGACAAAGGTCACTATTCTGAGTCTTTCCATAAAAGTTAAAAAAATTTTATTGAGAAAGCTTCCTGGAAAGTGGCGAAACGTCTTCAAATCTTGAACTTTTACGTAATGACTACGACCTGAATGACTGATAATCTTCATCAGCATATTCGGGGTCTTGCTACGCAGAAGCGGGAAGAAAAGCAACAACCATGCCATCCATGTTCACTTCCGTAAGCTCAAAGCAAGCGGGCTTGTGATGTCATTACGTCCTCTACTGTACATGCTGAACACTTGCGTTGTATGACTGCAGTTCACGCAGAAGATCACATCAAAGTCGCATATATTTGGAAATATGAACGGCAATGCAAAAAAAAATAATTTGGAATTGTGCATTAAAGCTTGTAGTGTGAACGTAGCCTAAGGCTTCGTTTACACGCCTGAAGTGACTCAAATCTGATTTTTCTTTTTTCACATATTCAACCTGGATCTGATCTTTTCATGACAGTCTGAACAACACAGATCTGATTTCTTCCAATGCGACCCGGGCCACTTGGCTCTGTGGTCCTGAATCCGATACGAATCTGATCTTTTCAAATGCGACCTGTGTCTGAACGGCCAGGTGACCTCCACAAAGGTCACTATTCTGCGTCTTAATACGCCGAAGCGGGAAGAAAACAACAACCATGGTGGACGATGATGTAGAATACGGTCTTTATTTTCAACCCTCTTGAAAAGATTTTAGTGTTAAAGCACCGGCTGAGGTTGGAATAGAAATGAAGGACTGCTTGATGCATTCCAGCACTAATATAGATGTTTACTTCTGTAAACACAGAGTGTGACAGTGTTGTGACGTCATTGCGTTCTCCACTTCTGTGTGCAGTTCACACAGGAGATCACATACAAGTCACAAATATTTGATTATGTGAACAACCAAAAAAATTACAAAAAAGTCGGAATTGAGCATTAAGGCTCGCAGTGTGAACGTAGCCTAGGAAATATTACTGCTGTGGCGTTTCTTTAATGGGAGCCATAGCTGGTAATGATGAGTTTTCCCTGTGTGTATTAACTGGGTTCCTTCAGAGAAAACGTTTTAAACGCTGCGGCTGCAGATCAGAGCTGCGCTTTAACCCTGATGTCTCTGCAGGAGCTGCACCCCATCTTCCCCTGGCTGGTGGAGAGCATGTTTGGAAGTCTGGATGGGATCATCTCTGGCTGGAACCTGCGCCTCCTCCACTCCCGGAGCCACGAGTACGCCGTTGTTTTGGACTTTCTGAACCCCAGGTAGGACCCGTTCGTTCCTGCGTGACCAAAGCTTCATTCATCTGTATAATCAGAGTAATCCATCTATTTTTTATTTTTTGCTCTTCTGTCTTTTCAGCGGCCCGATGATGAAGCTGGTTTATAAACTCCAGGCTGAAGAATACAAATATGAACTTCCTGTCAACTATCTCCCGGTAGGACCTTCCAGGATGTTTCCGTGTTTTTCATCTAACTCCCCCTCCAGTTGTCCTGAACGCTCTCATCCTCTTTCCTGGCTGTTTACACTCCTGTATAAAAAATGACAAAATAAAACTAATAAAAAAAAATTTTTATATTCCATAATAAACCTCCAGTTGTATTCAAAGAAAGGTACATTTATCAATGTTTTAGCTCATATAAAGCAACTGCATATTTAATTTATTTTATGCATTAGCTAGTTAATTTGATTATGCTGTGACTGATGTATTGACTTTTTTGGAGAAGTTACTAGTAACTTTAGTTACCTGTTGTTAGAACCCGTCTAGGGGTGGCCAGATCATAACATGAAAGATCCTCTTCAGATCCCAAGCAGTAAACACACAAAGTTCAACATTATATGGTGTTATTTATATAAAAAAAAAATGTATTTTTGAAATGAATGTTAGAAAAATTGGAGAATATGAATTCAGAGAGAGATGAGGCCGAAAACGGCAAACAAAAGGAAACTATCTGAATGCTAACCAACTTACTTAATTTTTATTTATTTTTTTCACAACAAAAAGATAAAAATAGAATAATGTTTCAGTAAAAAAGAGAATGTGGTGGACATTCTCTTTTTTACTGAAACAGACAGTGGCTGTCTCCATAAAAACAAATATATTTACCATTTCAGACATCTATATCATATTGTGTAAAAAAAAACCCAGCATTTCTTTGTAAAAAAAAAAAACAAATGAAATAAACAAACAAATGAAAGTAAATTAACCAAATGACAAAAACTCACCTCCCTAACTAAAAAAACGGCAGCTCACTCCTACAGGCTGCAGAACTTTACAGGATGTTTAAACAGTTTAGTCGTTGAGATGAGCTGAGGATGAAACGCAGGAATCGGCGACGGCCACCTTCACACTCATATTTACATAAGTTGACAACGCCAATCGTAACACCTGTATGAAAACAAAGCCTGGATGCTACAGGATCAGCTGAAGGACTGAAACGTTCCTGCTGTGATTATTTCGTTTTTAAAAGCTCCTCTCGATCCTCTAATCGACGTGTTTGTTTCCAGGGTCCTGTGAAGGCCTGCATCCAGGAGGGCGTCCTCCCAGACTGCCCTCTGTTCCACAACAAGCTGCAGTTCCCGCCGCCGGGCGTCATGACTCCGAACATCGCTCTCGGTATCCTTCAAGAGTCAAAACGCCGCCAAACGGCTCACATCAGTTTATTTCTCCCCTTCTCTGCTTCTTTAAAAGGGTTTCATCCACAGAAGTTTATTAGAATCTAAAATGATTCCTCAACCATCTGCAGATCCTTTTGAGTTCTTCATGTTTCATTTGGCCTACTGCCTCGTCGCTCCCAGGGTGAGTTCTGCTGCTGCTTCACAGTTTCAGATGGTTTTCGTTTCTTCAAAGCTAATCAGCATCACTGTCCGTGTGTTCAGTGTATATAAAACTGAAATCTATTGGTGAATAATTTGGTCAGTGTTTCTTATACTTGTTGTTGCTTATTATTTCAGTAATATCACTTAATCAAGCTTTTTCTTACTAGAAGATTAGTAAAAGAGGTTTGCACACAGTCAGAGATGAGCATCTCTGTGCGTCAAGACTCAAAGCTCCGGTTTCGGTGTGGTAAAGTGGATGGGAAACCGCTGTATGGGGACATTCCTAACCTACATGAGGACAGTCTCTATCTGAAATAACCCACAACTGTTTCCACTGAGGAAGGAAAAGTGTAAACAGTCCAGAGAGGCTTCCTAGAGGCCTGCAGCAGCATCAGAGGTGTTCTATTAATCTTATATCTGGGGTCAGATGCAGGACAGGAAGCTTTTCTTATAAATAAAAAAAGAAAATCAAATCTCTGTTGAAATTTGCACAAAAATACTTGGAGTCTCCCTTAAGCAGCTGTTAGCATCAGTGAGACAACCAAGGTGGAACATTTAGGCCATGATCAGTTCACATCAGCTGTGCAGCATAGTGAGGGCGGCATCATGCTCTGGTATTTTAGAGCCTAGTTAATCCTAGGGAATTATGAGGGTTACCAAACAGCAGAAACTTTGGGTTTGTGGCTGAAGATAAAGAGGAACTTCACCCTCTGGCCACCAGGAGGAGTCCTAACGCCTAGATTTGGAGGGTTTATGTAAAGAAGATTAAATGAGCAGACATTGGCCGTTTCTCAATTCACAAAAACTGAGTACGGAGCCAAGTCTGTTCTGGAGAAGAACACAGGACAGTCTGGACTCGGGGAGTCTCTAGATAATAATAAATTCAAACTTTTTTCATTTAGTGGGGGAATAATAATGAACACAGTAAGATAAACACAAATCAAATTAACATTTTGCCAAATAAGACACAAAAATAAATCTCCATCAGAGCCAGCAGTCCTTCAAACACGGCTATGCAGGGAGAGGGCTGCTATAGACGGGCTGCTGTTAGCTTTGGAGCTTCACTGGTTGCCACAGTCCTCTTAACTTTGGGTTATTTTATTTTTTTTATTACGCATTAAATCAGTAAATTACGGAAGAGGATTAGGGCCATTAAAAAATAAAAAAGATAATTGATTTTTTAATTTTATTTCAATTTAATATCGGGAAAAAGTCAGAATTCTGACTTTTTTTCTCAGAATTCTGACAGCTAACAAACATGTTAGCATCAAGCCATAGCCATGTCTGTTTTAGAGACTAGCTCTCTTGTTTTAATGACCTTCTGCTCCTCCATTAATGAGGGGACCCCTCTGCCACGTAAAAAGTTGCCTAATTCCGTCATTTTCCACCAATGTGTCACTGGCCACCTCAAACAACTCACATCTTTGTCAGTAAAGCTGAGTGCTCCACATCTCTTCCTTCATGGTGCCCATCTACATTAAGATCCACAATTCTGAGAAAAAAGTCAGAATTCTGACTTTTTTCCCCATGTTAAACTGAAATAAAATTAAAAAATCAGTTAACTTTTTTTTTTCAGTGGCCCTAATCCTCTTCCGTAGTAAATGGGCCATATAATGACGGTTTAAAGTATATTCTCGCCTCAAATGATCTTAAAACGCACTTTTATTGAACAACAGCAACAGAAAAGAGAACTTTCAATGGAGCGCCTTATTGAAAGCTGCTGCTGCCGCAGTGATTGCCGGGACAGCTGTCAATCTCAGGAAAGGATGAGTCTGCTCTGATTAGTGCTGGGTAAAGAGGGCGGGGCGAGAACAACATCAAACTTCTCGACAATAAGAAAAGTTCTCGGGCTGAGGCTGATGGCGTGTCACGAGAACGCTCAAGAACGCATATTGAGAAACGGACTTTGTCCGTTCTCAGTCTGCTGTTCTTGTGAATTGGAACACTACTAGGGCTTATGCTGATGACGTTTCACAGGTACACGAGCACATGAGAATGCACACATTGAGAAATGTCCATCATCTCTGCCAAGGCAGGCATGTTTTCAGAAGCTTCTCTTTTCAGGATTATGAAGTCATGGACATATGGCTCCCACATTTTACACATTTTCTATTTTCCAGATAATGAACTGGATTTAGGACAGTTTCTAAAGAATTTCCTACAATTATGAGAAATATATTTGGAGTTCTGTGCTGTCAGAGAGCTTTCAAACTGACCCAGAGTCGTTACTAAAACCAGGCTCTGTCCTCTAAGTTTAACTTTGTGCTCCAATCTACCCTCAGAACTGCCTCCAGCCTCAGCTCAGCAGCTCCACAGACAGCGCCTACTTCGTGCTGGTGGACATGTACCTGAAGTACTTCCTCCCCGTCGAAGGAAGCGTCCCTCCGTCTCCGTTCTCGGACGCTAGAGGCTCCGTCACGGCTCCGTCACCACGGTAACGATTCATCAAACCAAGACATTTGAAAATTTTAACACTTCAGGTTATGTATGGAGGAACCGAAGAAACAAAAATATTAGAAAGCCGAACAACGCTGAAAACATGCTAATTATTTAACTGAAAATGTAAAAACTGTAAAGTGAAAATGAGAGTGTCAGTTTGCTATTGTCGTGCATCAGAAAACAAAAGTCAATAGATTTGTCTCTCGTCATATTTTGAGGGAAAATTTTGTTAAAATCTTAAGGATTTAAAATCCTTAAATATAGTTAGAAAACACTGGAATGTTTCCACGTTTGAAGATGTTTCTCTTCCCATCCAGGAAGCTTTTTCAATTCAAAATGTCAGAAATAGCCTGGAGTTCGATGCTTCATTTTTTTTAGAAAACATCCGAACTGAAACAGACGAACGGGTCCACCCCTTTGGAATGAGGGTCGTTTGGCTTCTTTGTTAGCCTGGGACACCCCATACCTGTCTATGTCTCTGAACGGGGGGTCGTTAAACGGGTATGGGGCATTGCAGGCTAACAAAGAAGCCAAACGCCTCCATTCCAAAGGGGTGGACCCGTTCGTCTGTTTCAGTTTGCATGTTTTCTAAACAAAAACAAGGCTTTGTTTTTGGTCCACTGTATAAAGGCTCGAACTCAACGCTATTTCTGACATTTAGAATTGGAAAAGCTTCCTGGATGGAAGAGAAACGTCTTCAGACTTGGAAACAAAGTCCAGTGGATTGTTTTTTTTAATATTTTGGAATAACCATGACCTGGATGACTGAGAATCTTCACCAGCATATCTTTAAATATAGCAACAAACACGCAGAGACAGCAACAACGCTTTTATAAAGGTATTCATTCTGAAACGTGCTGCGTTTTTTATTTTGCTGTGACGGTTCCCCACGAACATTTAGATGAAACAGAAACTCTGATTCATCTTCTAATATTAAAGGAAAAGCAGTTCTGAGCAGGAGACAGACTCCCGGTGCTTTTAGTTACAGTCAGGAAAAGATGATTGATTTATTAAAAGATGTCTTTTCTCCCACCCAGAGCCTCCAGCGTGTCGTTTGCTGGTTACGGCGTTCATAGCCCCAGCCTCCTGAAGCACCATATTTTCCACCAGTCGTCTGTGAACGCAGACCCTGCAGCCCAGGAGATCTGGAGGTCTGAGACGCTGCTGCAGGTGAGAGAAGCTCCACCCGGCTGGGATCCACAGCTTCAGACATCAAACAGCATCTCTTCAGACATTAAGAGGCTTTAATGTTTTACTCATATAAACACTGTTTAATTGGAGGGAAAATGTTTAGAAATTATTACTAAGAATTGGTATTTACTGGCATTAATTAAAGGGGGAAGATCTGCAGGAAAAGTCCCACAGTCAGATGGCTGCATTGATGAAGAGCAGCCTCCATAGATGGAGCACCTGCTCAGACTCCGAACAGAGAGACTTTAGAGGAATTATTTACTCAAACAGATCTAAATGCTGGGTGCTCTAAGGCTCTGTTTTTGTCCAAGAGCATCTATATAGATAGATATATATAGATATAGCCATGTCCCGAATTCCTCGTTTTATAGCCATTTTTGTTGAACTTTGCATATATGTATATGTATATTAGGGATGGAACGGTTTATGAAAACCCGCTGAACCGTTCGGTTCGACTGTCTCGGTTCGGTTCGCTTGTGTTGCGTTCGGCTGCTCCTTTTTCTCATAGGGGAAGCGTTTACACTCCAGAGCAGAAGGTGGCGGTACTGCGACCAAAGCCAACCACCAGTAGTAAACAAGAAGAAGAAGAAGCGAAGCCGCGTAGCCGGGTGTAGCAGAAAAAAAATCAGTTGTTGTGGAGAATTGTGTGGGTATGGCGAGTGGGAAAGAACAGGAGTTGGAAGACGCACCAGCAGCACTTTATAGGTCTGCTGTATGGGACCACTTTGCATTTAGAGTGACATACGATGACGCCGGAAAGAAAGTTGAGGATAAAAACAGTGTGCAAGCATTGTGCAACACGTTTTATTTATGCTAACAGCAACATGACCATAATAGATTTTCCTAACAATCAACACGCACTCTTCTGGACTGAGGTGTCTGATGTATTTCCAGTAATCTGCTGTAACCATTCCTCCAGTTTGGGGGTCACTGCCTCGAGTGCCCTTATATATGAAAGTCATGGGTATTTGTTGATGGCATAACATTTATTTCTAAGAGCATTAAAAAGCATTAAATTAGAGTTATTCATTCCTGTATAAACCCTGAGTTTTTTCACACACCTTCTGCTGAATGGGGGAGGAATCCCAGCAGTAAGTTTTTATAGACCGATAATATGGGAATCCTTCTCTGTCGTGAGTGTGTGAACAGAAGGAAATGATTCCTGAATGTTGATTCTCTTTGTGATGTGAGCAGTAATGGGTCAGGATCGGGCCTCCCAGGGTTAGAGGTGCTGAAACACTGATGATGAAGTAAAGCTGCGGTTTGTCTGCGTGTCTCTAGATGTTCGTAGAGATCTGGCTCCACCATTACTCCTTGGACATGTACCAGAAGCTGCAGTCTCCTCAGGTAAAGGTAAGACCTTTACTCCCCCCCACCACCTCCTCATCCCTTCCTTACCTGCGCTACATGGCTGTCGATTGGCTGATCCTCTCCCCATCAGACCAGCTGATGTTCCTGCATAGAACCTCATTCATCTGTAAATGGATTCCTTTGGTTTGAGCTCCTCGTGAACCTTGCTGCAGAGGAAACATCCCTCTCCTGTGTTCAGAGCATCATCAGTTTAACCAGTTCAGATCAGAGATTGATTTGATGTTGAAGAAGCTGTTTGCTGCATGAAAACAGCAGAAATCTCCGTTTCAAACCCAAAACAACCAGATGCTTTACTTCCTACTGTTTGGTTTAAAGCTGCTGCGGTCAGGAGTCGAGCATGTTCCTGTCGCTTTGCTCCTCCTCACATCCTCTGCATGCTGCATGTCACCAGTTTGATGTTGTGGGAGGAACGCGCTTATGAAGTCACCACAGAGTCAGAGAACATCGGTTCTCATCCAAGCAGATCTCTGGTCTTCCTACCTGCAAAACTGAAAAGAGCGACCTTCTGCAATAAAATAAAACCATGGAGACAGTGGAGAACAAAGTTTAATGTGTTGGAGATAAAGATATTTCTGCAAGGCAAATTTATTTGTATCGCACGATTCAGTACAAAGACAATGCAAAGTGCTTTACATGATTAAAATATAGGAAAATAAAACAGAATCAAAGCATGTAGGAAAAAAAATAAAATAAAAATGCAGAAACAAAAAAGAAGTTAGTTTTTGAGCATGCTCAAATTATAAGTTGACTCTCTAGGACACGCCCCCTCCTCATTTACATAGTGAGGCAGAAATGCAGAGAGAAATGTAAAAACAACAGGCAGAAATAAACAGCGGCGAAGAAATAACTAGCGTAAAAAAATACAAAGGAAGAATAAAACAGACAAAAATATTATAACATGCACATAAATAAATACTTGAAAATGTAAGTCATTAAAAAATAAAGTTGAACATTATAAAGGACAAAAAACAAATAAGGTAAATATTACAAAGGGAAATAAATAAAGAAGCTAATTAAAAGAGTTATATATGTTTATGTCTCACTGTATAATTTCATTTCTACTTACATTTATTTGCTGATTGTATTTTGGGGGCAATTAATTGTATGCTTATTTATTTATTGAGCATTTATTTATTTCTGTATTTATTTTGAAATAGGCAATGTTGGTCCTCCATTATGGAAGAGGATTAGGGCCAGTGGAGGAAATTTTATTTCAGTTTAGTATTGGAAAAATGTCAGAATTCTGACTTTTTTCCCATGTTAAACTGAAATAAAATAAAAAAATCAGTTAAGTTTTTATTTATTTTTTTTCAGTGGCCCTAATCCTCTTCCGTACTCCATAGTTGACCCGCAGACCTGATCAGAATAAATTAAGTTCTGTGCTGAGACTTAATGCTGGCGTTCCTCCCAACAACATGCATGGCAACACGGACCAGATTCATGCCGTGGTCCCACTGGACTGTTTCCTCTGGACTCCTGCTGCAGGAATGTTTGTTTAAAACCACAAACATCCAGAACTTTAAGGTTGAAGTCAGAGCTGTGGAGCTGCTGTTTGTCCTGCTCTGTGGAGCCTCAGAGGAAACATCTCATCGTCTCCTTTAAAATGCATCCAGACGTTCTGCAGACTTTAACCCCAACATGTTCCGTGTCCAGAACCAGGAGGACTCCTGCTGACAGATTTGGGGCATTTTGAGTTTTGTTTCAGCTGAAATCTTCTCCAATCTGATGGATTTAATCCCAAATCTTCCAGCCTGAGTTCCTTCTGTTAATCTGTTGGGATGGATTCTGATGTCAAAGCTGCTGGTTTTTATTCTGATGTAGCTCTGCTGTCCCTCCTGTTGAGGCCCAGAGCAGCTGATATCATGTCCATCCCTGCAGCATGTCTGCAGGTTGGTGTCCAGCCTCAGTCCTCAGGAAGACGTCCTGCATGTCACGAATGTTTCTTTGCTCCCCAGGAGATGATTTGACTGTTTTGTCCCGCCTGTAGGACTGGAGCTGGACTCCTCTGGCCACCAACAGATGAAACGTTTTGTTCCCACAGTCAATATTTTCTTCTTGTTTGTCTCCTCTCCTGTTTTTTTTTGTTTTTTTTTCTCCTAATCCTTTTCGGCCAATTGTTTCTTCCTGGTTGCTCTCCTTTTTGTTTCTCATCTGTTCCTCCCTTCCACCACTTCCCCCCCTCTTCCTCTGTGCTCCTCCCCTTGTGGTTGTCCTCCCCATCGTCGTCCCCCTCCCTGGTGGTTACGGGTGAACAGCTGGCCCTGCTGCAGTACCGCCTCAGTATGTCCAGCATGCCGTGCCAACCCCACGCCCCACCAGGCTCTGGGACCTTCCACACCTACCAAGTACTTTTACCTTTTCATTCACCCCCGCCCCTCTGGGGCCTCCTGGAGGTAAACCTGCAGCCAGCTGATTCAGTCGAGGATATTTCTCTGACAGTTTAAGTGAATAGAAATATGCAGATAAACACAAATGTGAAAAAAATGTAACAAAAAATAAGATTTTACTTAATAAATCCTTAATAAATTTTTATTTCTGCATAAAAACACTAACAGATTGTTTACAAGGAATAAAAAACTGCTTTAACAACAGAAAATATTTTAATACATCATTAGATACTTAAATAAATCATACAATTATTAGAAAAAAACAAACATTGGATAATTGATTATTTAGCTGCAGTTTTAAGGAGCTTAAACCCTTCAGACCTACAGAGAAGGATCCTCGACAGCAGGTGTGATCCTGCAGCAGAGCTTTGGAGATGCATCTGAGCTGTGGTTCTGTGTTAATGCATGCCGTTCTAACTGGTTCTGGGTGGTTTTCACGTTCTTGCTGCTGCTGCTGCTCCTCAGAGCATGTTTCAAATCAGGAGGAACAACCATCTTTGCATGAGTTTGATGATGACTGGCTGCAGAGGGATGGCTGGCGGCTGCAGAAGATCAGGCGAGCGGCAGGAAGTGAGGTCCCAGAACACGTCCAGTTGGACTTTTTTATTAGGACAGGAGCAGAGGATTAAAGGAATGATTTGGGAAAACATGTCAAATTTCAGCTAAACTCTGTTAGAAAACCCTCTGATCCAGAGTTGATCAGGACTGGTAGGGCGGGACCTCGCTTTCTGCTGTGATTGGCTGCTTCCTGGATCAGGTTGATTGGTGTGGAACGCTCTATGATTGGCTGTGTTTTCAGGAGCCCTTCAGTCCATCGGAGGAACACGTGTTGGTGGTGCGCCTCCTGGTGAAACATCTGCACGCCTTCTCCAACAGCCTGAAGCCCGAGCAGCCGTCCTCATCGCCATCAGCCCACTCCCACCCCAGCCCACTGGAGGAGTTTAAGAGGTCAGCATCCTCACTCGCTTTGCTGAAGGAGGTCAAACACTGATCAGATGAGGCAGAACTTTAACACCGGACTCATTTGGGTTTGGGTTCTCTAGTTGCAAACCAGCCGCTTCAGAACCAGAACTATTTGATTCTAATGTATCCTAATGTTTCCTGCAGAAAATAAAAGTTTTATGGATCCGGATGTGGATCCGGGTTTAGACAGATAATCTGTGACTTTATTTAAATTAAACAAGATCATTCTATACCGACAAGAAGGAACAATCGTTGTTGTTTTAATTTGCATGTTCCTGTTTGTTAGTAAACCTTAACGAGCGTGATGTCACCTTCTGCAGGGTGGTGGTGCAGCGTTTCGTGCAGCAGAAGCTCTACCTGTTCTTGCAGCATTGCTTCGGACACTGGCCTCTGGATGCCTCCTTCAGAGCGGTACGTTTACCTCCTTTACTTGCATTAATGCATTTTTGCATAATTTGGCCACTTTTGGTGTTGTGGCAGAATCCCATTTCCTCCCAGCACTCTGCCCACTAAAACCTTGGTGGAACAAACATGCTTTAATCTATTCAGTCCAAATTAGCTTGAGTTATAGTCAAGACATAGATCTATAAAGTCTGAGGTTTCATCCAGAGTTTCAAATAGGCTGTCATGGTGTTTTGTAACATTTATTTTGGAAAAAAATTTGGCGAGGCTAAATATTTTTCATTTTTTCTTTATTTAATCACCTGTAAATAAGAAACTGTGACATTTCAAATAGTGGTTCCGCCTGAAAAATATTCCTCCATGCCTTTCACTTATACAAATACAAACAATTGTATTTCCAATTTATTGTTTGGGAGCTGTACTTGCTTTATTCACATATGTAATTTCTTTCATAATTTTTCTCCCTTAAGACCCTCAGGGCTTAAGCGGTTACTGCTGGAGGGAAGGAGGAGTTGATTATGATGACATTAGAAGGAAATCCAAACTAAATGATCTACGTTTGTAGTGAAGATGATTAAAACTCATTCAGTCAGTTCTGCTCTTCCTCTGACTTCAGGTTCTGGAGACGTGGCTCAGCTACATTCAGCCTTGGAGATACACAGGAGAGAAGACCAACCCCCAACCGGACCAAAACAGAACCGTCCCAGACAAATGGTTGGTGGAATTGCTGTGAGTCTTTATGTCAGGACTGGTTCTGTCTGTGAAATCCTGACCCAAACTCTGCCGCAGGGAGACGTTTATCCACGAGAACCTGCTCCTCTACACCAAGCTCTTCCAGGGCTTCCTGAACCGAGCCGTGAGAACCGACTTGGTCAACGTCAAAAACGCCCTGATGGTGTTCAGGGTGGCCAAAGTGTTTGCTCAGCCCAACCTGGCAGAGATGATCCAGAAAGGTGAGCAGGCTACTGATCAGGAGAGTTAATGCAGCTTTTACCCCATTTACGCTACCCTTGAAAAACCGTGCCGAGACCGGTCCGAGCTCAGTGACTGAGATAACTTATGGTGTGTAAATGGAAAGCAAACTGAACTGAACCGAGCTAGACACAACCGGACCGAGCTAACTGCAGACCAGTTCCAGAGGTGGGCTCGGCTCGGTTTTTCCCTGGCTCGGTTCTCTGATAACAAGAGCGCATGAGCAGAACGCGTCATCTCCGTCTGGCTGCACATCCCGATTCACACTCCATTCCAGTAGTTGGCGGTAATGCCCCTCCGGAAGTTGCTTTCCAACCAACACAAACAGAAGAAGAACAACTATAAACAACAATCAAAATCTTCTCCACGCAACATTTTAAATAATGGCTTCAAAAGAGCGTGGCGCGACCTGGGATGATGATAATAATCAAGCATAACTTTCTGAATGTGACGGGCGCCGCCATTTTGATTTGCTTGATTCCCTAGGCGTTTCTCAATTCGCGAGTACGTACTCGCGTTCTCGTCAAGTCCGTTCTTGGTGAGAACGCAGGAAGATCGGACTTGACGAGAACGCAAGCACGTATGTGTATTGGAACAGAAGCGTACTCGTGACGTCATCACAGGCAACGTTGTTTAGCATTTCTTTAACAGTCAAAACTATTTATTCCCTACACAAAACATTTTGAAAACAATATTTTTAATTTCTAAAGCTTAAAAAACATTAAAAAAAATTACCGAACCGCAAAAAACCGCCATCAGAACAAGCGGTAGTTCACACATAACTAGACCGAGAGAAGTGCCCTACAGACGGGGTAAATTTAGCCCTGGCTGCGGTTACCCTCGGAGGTCTGCTGGTCACTCTGGTCCGCTCAACGTCGGACTTTTTTTTTTATTTCGCACTAACTCTGTAAACAGGCCACACAGGGAGGCTTAAATGTATAATGTTATCGCCTCAAACGATTTCAAAACGTACTTTTGAAGAACAACAGCAGCAGAAAAGGGAATGTTTAACTTACCACTGTGAGCGCTGTCTGGAATCAAGCTGCGGCCGCGGGGCATTCTGGGGAAGCGGTCAGTCTGAAGAACGCACAAGTCTGCTCTGATGCATGCTCGATCCGGGGATTTGGTGCATTCTCGATTTGGCGTTCTTGAGAATTGGAACGGCCTCGGGCTGAGGCTGATGACGTGTCACGAGTACACGAGCACACGAGAACGCTCAAGAACGCATATTGAGAAACGCCCCCTCCTTCTTGGTCTTCTTCTTCTTGTGTTTTATGGCGGTTGGCAAACAACTTTTGGTGCATTACCTCCACCAACTGCTTGATTTCCTCGTTCAATACTGGCAGTAATACCGCAGATCGTCACTAGGAGGCGAGGAGTCGAGGAACCGAGACAGCGTGATGTGTAAACGGTCGTCAGAACCGAGCTCGGCCTGGTTAACTGATCCGAGCTCGGACCGGTCTCAGCATGGATCGGTTTTTCAAGGGTAGTGTAAATGGGGCATTTGTCTCTGCATGTGGGATTAGGGATGGAAGTTACCAACCAGATCATGTGAGCGGAGCATGGAGCGAGCGGTGGAGCAGAGACGAAGAAATATGGTGGAGCTCGGAGCCGTTTTTAATTCAAAGGCTAAAGCGAGGATTTTGCTCCGACTTTATTTAAATTCATGTTTGACTTAAAACCTAGGCCAATGCCTGAGCTGCAGTCTATGCCTATAGTCTGTTATAGTCTATGTTTCAAGTTTACTACGGAAACGCAGAGACGAGGGTCGCACATTGTGTGATTAAAGTGGGATAAAATATAAAAACATACATTAGGGATGGAACGGTTTATGAAAACCATCCGAAACCGTTCGGTTCGACTGTCTCTGTTCGGTTCGCGTGTGTTGCGTTCGGTACATGCGCTGCTCCTTTTTCTCATAGGCGAAGCGCTTACACTGCAGAGCAGAAGGTGGCGGTACTGCGACCAAAGCCAACCACCAGTAGTAAACAAGAAGAAGAAGCGAAGCAGCGTAGCCGGGTGTAGCAGAAAAAAATCAGTTGTTGTGGAGAATTGTGTGGGTATGGCGAGTGGGAAAGAACAGGAGTTGGAAGACGCCAAAGGAGCACTTTATAGGTCTGCTGTATGGGACCACTTTGTATTTAGAGTGACCTACGATGACGGCGGGAAGAAAGTTGTGGATAAAAGTGCAACAGTGTGCAAGTGGAACCGAAAACCGTGACCACGAAACCGTGAACCGAACCGAACTGTGGATTTTGTGAACCGTTCCCGCCCTAACATACACTAACAATACAGAGTGGGTTTGCATAAAGTGATCGTTGTGGTAAGAGCCTGTTTTTGAAGGTGGATCGCATACATACAAGTTATCAGATCATCAGAGATGTTTCAAAATAGCAGATTATTTGTTTACATCCTTAGTCTGCATCTTTCTTCGCTCTCATCTGCTGAGATTTCTGAGAATCTCTCTGATCCTGGTCTCTGCCCAGGCGAGCAGCTGTTCCTGGAGCCGGACCACATCCTTCACCACCGCCAACCTCGTGGATACCTCACCCCGAGCCAGGGCGGGAGCTACCTCTCCACACGGCAACGGGTGGTGATGGATACGGTGTTCAAGGTGAAGAGCCATGTGTATTCCCTGGAAGGGCAGGACTGTCAGTACAAGCAGATGTTCGGCTCTGAGGTCAGAGGAGCGGTGAGTTTCAGTTTGGTTCTGTTCAAACATCCGTTCTCACTTCAAATGTTGGACCTGAAGTCCTTCAGCGTGGCTCAGAGTGTCGCTTCCCTCCCTTCAGGTCATGAAGTTCATCCAGATCATAGCCCAGGCCCGGCATACGGCGAAGAGGATATCGGATCACTCTAACGAGGCGGCGACCAGCAGCTCTTTCCTCTCCTGGTTCGGACTCGGCTCCTCCGACCTCAACAACACGTTTCCTGGTGCCGAGCCGGAGGACAGCGGGGAATGTCTGAAGAAGACCCACGAGTTCCTGGACAGAGCTCTGGAGAACCTGTGTGGGATCTTTAAGGTCAGGTCCGGTTTGGAACGTGTTGCAGGTCGGGGTTGGCGCAGCTCCTCATGTCTGCATGTTTCTGCGTTCCAGCTGAACCAGGGCCAGCTGGCTCAGCTCCTCTCCAACCTGAGCTCCTCCCAGGACGACGGCCACTCCAGGCAGCTGCCGGACTGCATCCAGGGGGAGAACGGGCTGGTTCTGACCGACCTGGGCAGGATGCAGGTAGGTGTCGGATCCAGCAGGAAGAGGACCGACGGCTGTGGCTTTCCTCTCACCCTCTGCGTGTTTCTGCAGATCATAAACGGGCTGCGCAGGTTTGAGGTCCAGTATCAGGGGGATCCGGAGCTGCAGCCCATCAGGAGCTACGAGAGCGCCCTGCTGGTCCGGTTCCTCTACAGGGTTTCCTCTCTGCTGAACGACAGGGTGAGCTGGAAACTGCCGAGGCTCTGAAATAAACAGTCAGGGTTCCTGCAGATCCTTAAAAAGTCTTAAAAGGCATTGAATTCTTCAATATAAAAATGTCTTAAATCAGTTTTTAATAGGTCTTAAAATTGTCACCAAGTCATAAAAGGATTTTATTTTTGTAATTCATATCAAAAATTAAAGTCATAGGGAAGCGGCTGCTTCTCTTTTCAGTTTTTTATTTCTTTAAGATAATTTAATAGATTAAATTTTCATTGAATCAGAAAATCCTTGTGTGGTCTCCTTTAATGTTACCCCACTAAACAAGCCTGGTGGACGTAACATTTTGGGGGCTTGTCCGGGCTTGTCAAAAAGAGAATACCTGAAATAACAAAACAAGAGAGATCAATGCAAATACCATAACTAACCAGAATTAAAGCAACAATTCAATTCAATTCAATTCAGTTTATTTATATAGCGCCAAATTCACAACACATGTCATCTCAAGGCACTTCACAGTTCAACCAGATCATAAAGTCAAATTGATACAAAGTTCTCCATCTAAGGAAAACCAGTTGATTGCATCGACTCATTGACTCAATACAATCCCTCACACTAAGCATGCTTGTAGCGACAGTGGAGAGGAAAAACTCCCTTTAAACAGGAAGAAACCTCCAGCAGAACCAGGCTCAGTGTGAGCGGCCATCTGCCGAGGCCGACTGGGTTCAAGAAGACGGAAGCAGACTTAACAAAACTCAACCAAACCAATACAAACCAAACAGGGCTCTGAGGAGGAAGACGGAAAAGCTTTCCCTTCTGCTGCATCCATAGCAGCTTTAACGCAACGGAGAACCAATCAGGGCAAAACATCACAGCTGCGATGGGGCTGCCTCCCAAACCCTAGAGGGAAAAATGGCAGGGACACGCTGCAGCCGAAACAACTGTGTTTTTAGCTTTCTTCTAGTAACGGTGAGATGAAGCCTCATGAGGCATTGAACCGAGGCTTCATGTGAACAACATGTCACCACCTACTGGTGTAAAGCAGTACTACAGTTTAAAATAAAATCTGTGATTCTTTTTTGCAACTGCTTTTCTGTTTTTCCCCTTTTAAGTTCCCTTGCAATTATTAATGGTTGGTGTGTATAATAAAAGTTTTTTTAAGTGTAAATTTTCTTAGAGCAATCATTTAAGGCGCACAGTTGTTCTGCCATTTTAGGGAAATAAACTCAAGCAGGCAGTGAAAGTGTTTGTGCAAATTGGGCAATGATGAGCAAAATGAAAGGTGTTAGTCATTTTTATTCAAACATGATAGTTTTTCCACGTTTCTTGGTTTTAATCAGGTTGGAAGTTGTGTTCAACCAATCTTTTGGCTAAACCGACCTAATTTACCCAATCTATATTTTCACTCGGGCAAAACAATGCAAATTTACGGAAGAGGATTAGGGCCACTGGAAAAAAAAAAAAGTTAAATGATTTTTAAATTTTATTTCAGTTTAGTATGGGGAAGAAATCAGAATTCTGATTTTTTTCTCAGAATTCTGTCTTTAATCTCCAAATTCTGACTTTAATTTAAGAATTCTGACTTTTTATTGTCAGAAATCAGTCAGAATTCTGAGATTAAAGTCAGAATTCTGACTTTTTTTATTGTCAGAAATCAGTCAGAATTCTGAGATTAAAGTCAGAATTCTGACTTTTTTTCCCATACTACACTGAAATAAAATTTAAAAATCAGTTAACTTTTTTTTCCAGTGGCCCTAATCCTCTTCCGTACAAATTAGTCTCATCAGCCAAAATAATTAAGTTTAATCACAACTTTTAAAAATCAAAGACGGGTCATGAACCATAAGCCTCTAGAGTTGCAGTCTGTCTCTTACAGATGACGCCACCTATGTAGATAGCAATGGATAGGAGAAAATACTTGTAAATACTGATGTGTTAACAGTGGCTTTGTCTGGTGGTTTGCTCAAATTTTGATCATTACATTGTTTATTCAAATCAAATTAGCTTTAAGCAACTAGATTGGTTGGAAAAACAACCAATCTATTCTTAGAATCTATCCAAACTCTATCCAGCTGAGAGCATCTCTCCTCCAAACTCCCACATCTTGACTGAACACTGAGGCTGTTTAGATGCCTCTCAAAATTCTTGCGCTTCCTGAAGCGGTCACATGGTTTCACGGTAGCGAGGCCTCGGACGTCATCAATGTTGGCCCTTCCTCTAAATGAATCACGCCTTGACACACACTTCGAAGCCTCAACTCATAACATCACTACTTTCTTCCTATATGGAAAGTTTTTCAAAATTGTAAACATTTCCACTTTATTGTGAACTTGGTCTTAAAGTTTTGTTTCATGGAACAAAAAAAGTCTTAAAAAGTCTTGAATTGAACTTGCCTTATGTTGTAGGAACCGTGGATGAAGACAGATTAAATAGATAATCCCGTTCTGCTCTCTGATTGCAGTTCCAAGCCCACATGAGCGCTCTCTGCTCGCGCTCAGACTTCCTGGGTCGCCTCGGCCGCCGCTTCCTGACGGAACCGGAGCCCTCGGTCCGGTTGAAGCGGAGCCCGATGTCCCGGCGGACTCTGGAGCGAAGCCTGCAGCCGCGGCTCAGCCTGCGCCCGCTGGCCAGCTACAGGACGCTGCTGCTGCTGCTGCTCTTCTACGCGCTGGGGGCCCTGCTGTCATTTGGGCCCCTCTCCAGCACGGCCCTGCTCCTGACGGGGGCGCTCCTGTACGGAGTGGCGATGACACTGTTTGTAGAAAAACTGAAAACTCAGTGAGACGAACCGCCACCCGGAACATCAAAAACACTTCATGGTTCCAGCGAACCTGCAGCTCATTCTGGGATATTTCTAATGTAAATATTTTTATTTTTTGAGAGCTTTTCGAAGAACCTGCAGGCCAAAAACTTTAAATAAAGTATTTTTTCTCAGTGGAAACAGAATTTGTGTGAAAAGAGCTATTTATTTAACAGCGTTCAAGGTGGACGCAGTTCAAACGGGTTGCATCAGAACTAGAAGTGTCCGGTTCTTGGGGAACGGTATCCTGCAACATTTAGATCCATCCTTGGTCCAACACACCTGATTCAAATAGCTGAGTTACCTCCTCAGTGTGCAGTCAGTTCCTCCTGAGTCCATCTAATTATTTGATTCAGGTGTGTTGAACCAAAGACGCATCTAAGGCTACGTTTCCAACCATAAAACACAACCTTTTCAATATGGTTAATCATAAATACTGCTCTCAGCATTATCATCTGCCATGGTTGTTGTTTTTCTTGCCCCTTCTTCATACCAAGACCCAGAATAGTGACCTTAGTTGGGTATTAATGGCGTTGAAGTCAGATAAATGCGATCTGTGTGTGAACGGCCAGATCGCATTTGAAAAGATCAGATTCGTATCGGACTCAGGACCAGAGAGCCAATTGGCCTGGGTCACATTTGAAGAAATCGGATCTGTGTTGTTCAGACCGCCATGAAAAGATCAGATCCAGGTCGCATATGGGTCAAAAAATCCTATTTGGGTCACTTCAGGCTGCAGTGTGAACGTAGCCTAAAGGTTGCAGGATATCAGCCCTAAGGAACTGGAATTAACCACCCCTGGTCTAGCTGCTGTCACACCGTGACAGTTTAGACCAGCATATGCCTGATTGTATGAAAAATCTGGCAAAAAACGCTGGAATACATTGGATAAAGTTATGAGCACGGAGAAACATGCTGGCACACGTTGAGAAATCATGAGCATGTTTCTCCGTGCTACCATGTTACCTGTAACGTACTAGCCATAAGTTACAGGTAAGTTATCTGATGGTTGACATACATTAAGTGTAAAGTACTCATCAGTTGTGGCAAAGCAAGGCAAATTTATTTGTATAGCACAATTCAGTACAAAGACAATGCAAAGTGCTTTACATGATTAAAATATAGGAAAATAAAACAGAATCAAAGCAAGTAGGAAAAATAAAATAAAAAATGCAGAAACAAAAAAGAATATTAAAAACAGACTAAGGAAAAAAAAGTTTAACTAATGATGTTTTAGTTGAACTGTTTAACTAGAACAGTGGAAGGCAATCCTAAACAAATGTGTTTTTAGTATTGATTTAAAGGAACTCAGGCTTTCTGCACTTTTACAGTTTTCTGGAAGTTTGTTCCAGATAAGTGGAGCATAGGAACTAAATGCTGCTTCTCCATGTTTAGTTCTGGTTCTAGGTATGCAGAGCAGGCTGGAGCCAGAAGACCTGAGTGGTCTGGAGGGTTGATACACTGATAGCAAGTCTGTGATGTATTTAGGTGCTAAGCCATTCAGAGATTTATAGACTAACAGAAGTATTTTAAAGTCTATTCTCTGAGATACAGGGAGCCAGTGTAAGGACTTTAGAACTGGGGTGATGTGCTCTAATTTCTTAGTCTTAGTGAGGACACGTGCAGCAGCGTTCTGGAGCAGCTGCAGCTGTCTGATCCACTTTTTAGGCAGACGGAGGCGGTTGATGCAAATACAAATTTATGGTTCTTTAAAATGGCAACACATTTCTTGCAGCACGTATGTAACATGTTTTATTTTATTAAAAGGTCATTTTTATGTCTTTGTATTTGCAGCTGAAATTGAACTTTTATTAATCTGGACTCGGGACAAAATGCCTCTCTGAGTTCTAAAGGTTTCAGACATTTAATATAGTAGATAAGCCAAGAACTAAGAAAAACATTCAAGTGAATAATTGAATCTCTGCAGGTTTACTTCAAACTGTTGGTTACTCCACAGGTTTTCTAGTTCCGATGTGTTTCTGTCTTTTCAATCTTATAATCTAGTTTATAATAAAAGCTGATCCTAGATAGTAATTTTGGTCACATTTTAAGGACCTTTTCTGTTCAGTTAGCAGCGATCTGACATTTTTTCATTGGGTCAAAATCAAGTAAACAAACAAAAAGCTATTTTTTCTTTTCTTTTTCTTTTTTTAGACAAATGAAGGGAATTTGATCTGAAAATCAGATATACAAGTCCACTCTATAGAGCAGGGGTAACCAATTAAAAATCAGCGGGGTCCGAATAAAGAACATCATCAACCAGAAAAGGTCTGGAGACATTTTTAATTATAATCTGTTACTTTATACAGAATTTAACCCTGAAATAAAAGGTATTTATGGATCCGTGTTATACATTGAATTTTTAGATAAAAAATATAGAAAAAGAAAATTTTTCCATCTTAGAATTTAAGGTGTTTTTTTGTAAGTAGAGAACAATTTTGTTTAGTATATAGACAATTTCATTATTCACATTTTTTATATATATATATATATATATATATATATATATATATATATATATATATATATATATATATATATATATATATATTATTTCAATAAAGCTTAGTTAAAAGAAAGGGTAAAAAAAAATAGAAATTGACGCGTCTGCTGCTGATTGGCTGAACCGCGCGTCACGTGCTGCGGAAGTGAAGGGACCGATGTGTTTCTGGAGAGCAGGGGCGCTCCGATAAGGTTCTGTGGCGTTCGGGAGGATTTCCTGCCGGAGAAAATGGACACATTAAATAAGCTGAAGCAGTTTGACGCTTTTCCCAAAACTCTGGAGGATTTCCGAGTGAAGACGTGGGGAGGAGCGGCCGGTAGGAGCCTTTAACCGATCAGACACTCCGGGAGCTAGCTGCCGCTGCTAACAGGGCTGCTGACAGCGGCGCTCATTCACAGACATCAAACGCTGCAGGATGCACTTTTAAATCACTTAAGAATATTTTTCATTCATTGATGACCAGAAAACAAACATTTATTTTCAATAATTTATTCTATAGAACTCTAATGTATTCTTCAGCTAGAGCACAGCCAGAACTCATTTTATATAAACATCAGGTTTTACATCATTAAACATCTTTAACCTTTTATTCACATCTGCAAGTTTTTCTTTTTTAAACTCGGCAGTTTTAAATATGCAGTTAATTGTAAGATTAAACCACAAACAAGACATTTTTTAAATCTATTTTCATTGTTTAAATAGAATAGAATCATTGGCGGTTGTATACAGGGGCCAACGGGGGCCAGTGCCCCTGTAGATCCTGTCCTGGCCCCTATTATGGCCCCTGTACTGAAGACATAATACTCAAAGGGAATGAAACAGACATAGTTTCTGATAGGTCCTTTGGATCTATTTCAGTTTTTCTTGAGTTCTAATTCAGATTTTATAGAAAAACTGTAATTTTACCTTAAATTATGACAAAAATATGTTAAGTTCCTAAATTATGAATGCATATTGACCTAATAAGGCATTTTAATTAAACCTATTTAATAAAAATCTCACTTCATGCAACTATCTTAATATATTTGAATGCCTGGACCTGTTTTTTATTTCATGCTTTTCTGTGCCCCCATGAAAACACGCTGGCCCCCTCCTGGCCCCCTAATTCATTTGGTCTAGAACCGCCACTGAATAGAATAGAAAATCCCTTTATTTTCCCACTATGGGGGAAATTGTGGTGTTTACAGCAAAAACAAAAATACAGAAAATGGTCACACAAATGTGGACCTTAGAAAAATGTATAAGAATAACTTAATAGTGAAGAGTTAAAATATAAACACTAAAATCCTGTACTGTAAAGTGTTTTAACAATATAAAACTGTGCACCTGGAGAATAAATAACCAATATGCAGCTATGGACATTTTTACAGTAATGGATATTTGAAAATAGCAGCAACATCAGAGATGAGCAAAATGACAGCAGCAGGTTATTTAACTGACTAAGGTAGAAACTGTGCAAAATCAGCATGAATGTAAAAACTTATTGAGGTTGTTGGGAACAGTGATGGTTAAATAAAACTTGTTTTTGCTTTAAAACTCTCCTTTAAAGGCTTAATCTATAAACTTATGCTGAGGGATAAGATGTTTATCAGAATAAACAAACTAATGTGATCTTTATAATCTACATGAACTAAAGATAAACTGATTTTAAAAATTAATTAGATCATTTTCTCCTGTTCATTGAGAAGTTTATAATTTAATCCTTTCTTCCAGGTATTTCTTAAAACAAATATTTATTCTACAATATTTAATAGAATTTGCCAAAAATGTCAAAGTTCTTAATATTGTTTTGTAATTTACATGTTGTGAAACTGTGTTTTTGTTACTTTTGCGTCCTGTATGAGGTTTTATATTTTTGTTTTTAAAAGAAAAAAAGGCTTAAAATGAAAGCACCATTTGTGTATCCGTGTGAAAGTGATGCAGCACAGGATCTGGAAACGCTCACTGGTCACTTTTTAACGTTAAAACCTTCATCTATCTATCATTAATCAGCCATTAAATCAATATATTACTATCAGATATCAGCCCAAATTTTCATTGCTTCATAGAAACCAAACATCAGAAAGATCAACAGCTTTTAAAGGAGGAAGTTATTAAAAATGATCAAACTTAGTGTGGGTCCTTGGCTGTCTGACACTGAGTACATATTTTAAAGGGTTTGACATCTAATGATTTAACTTTGCATTTATTAAACTATTGATGCACGTTTGGGGATTCCAGCCTTGGTTCAATCTCTAATATTCCTCTGAGGATCTCGCCGCCCACGCCGTCACTCAGGGTATGTGTTGGGCTACCGTATAAAAGCCTCAAACTCGGCCCTATTTCTGACATTTTGAACTGAAAGCTTCCTGGATGGGAAGCGAAACGTCTTCAAACTTGGAAACAAATCCAGTGGATTGATTTTAACTTTTTCTTTGGGAATTACAATGACCTGAATGACTTAGAATCTTCACCAGCAGATTCAGATAAAGTTTCTTCTCCCAACAATGAAAACCCATTAGTGTTTCCAGTCCAGGTAGAAGACTTTATACCGTGTTTCGACGGGTCATTAAATTAGTTTTTTTTATTTATTAAGGCCTTAAATAGCATTAAAATTAATTAAATATGATTATTGTGGCATTTAAAATGCTTTATTTAAAAATCTAAAAAGTTGATAAAAACTATTTCCTCAGATAAATTGCGATATATTTGCGTGGAACTGCTTACCGTCGATCGTAAAGCCGTTTGTTCCGAAAAAGAAGCCCGAGGCGGAGAAAAAGCTAGAGAATGAGAAAAATGTCTCAACGAGAAAATTTGAAAAAATTTCAACAAAAGTGGCTGGAAAATGAGGAATGTGTGACATGGCTGCAGCCTGTCGACAGGTACTTGTTGATGGCATTAAATGATTTTTAAGAGCATTAAAAAGCATTAAATTAGAGTTACTCATATAAACCCTGTTATAGCAGTGCAATAAACCGTGAACCTGTGATCATCCACTCACTGTTTGTTACCTATTTATGGTGACTTTGGTTATGAGTAGTCCTTAAACAACTTTTTCATTTATGATACTAATACAGGGTTTCCGTGGGTGATCAAAAATCATTAAAAGTCATTAAATTATTATTATTTTTAATTAAGGCCTTAATTGGCATTTAAATTAATTAAATGTGATTATTATAGCCTTTTAAATGCTTTATTTAAAAAAAAAAGATTATAAATACAATTTCATCAGATATATCGCGCTATTTTTGCGTGGAACTGCTTCCCGTCGATCGTAAAGTCGTATGTTCGGAAAAAGAAGCTCGAGGCGGAGAAAAAGCTAGAGAATAGGAAAATGCAAATTTCAACAAAAGTGGCTGAAAAACGAGGAATTCGAGACACGGCTGCAGCCTGTCGACTGTAAAGATGATGATTTCTTCATGTTACAATATATGAATGAGAGTCATGGGTACTTGTTGATGGCATTAAAAAAAATTATGAGTGCATTAAAAGAGCATTAAAAAGCATTAAATTGGGGTTACTCATTCCTGTACAAAACCTTTAATAATGCAGATTTAGATGTTGAGCGATACCGATTATGACCAGATACTGTATTAGCTTCACCCATCTATACTTTTATTGGTTATTTATCATTTGGAATGATGGAAAAGGTTTGATTAAGTGACATTTCTCAAACAGAACAACAGTTAACAACAATATGTGAACTACTGACCCGTTTCCCATTCAACAATGATCTGGTGAACTGTAAAGTGCCTTGAGATGACCTGTGTTGTGAATTGGCGCTATATAAATAAACTGAATTGAATTGAACAAAGACTTAAAAAAAAAAGCAGAGAGAAGCAAAGTGTTTCTATGAGCTTTATAATATTGGATATTTCAGAGGCAGGTGTATAAATGATCATAATGATCGATTCCCCGTATTAATATCAGTGGCAGCCCGAGCTTTAGTTTCTGGGTCCCTGAAATAGGAGAAAACACTGGAAAGTTTTTTTTTTTATTTTTTATAATTTGGTATTTTATGTTTGTTTTTTTTAAATGCAAATTTCACAACAATTATATTTTGTCATTTTAACTTATTTTAACTGTTCTCCTCTCCTTTTAAATATTTTAAACTGCAAATAATGTATTAATTACAAGTTAATTAAACTAGTAAAGATATCAAATTTCCCTGAGTTAACAGTGATTTGATTGATTCATCCCTGCTGCAAACAGACTCTACAACGCGACACTACAGCACTGATAACTTGTGCAACGTACAATGTGCAAGTTACTATTTAATACCCTGCGCAATAACCTGTTTCTCTATAGCTGACACCCAGTGCAATAACTATATATATAAATATCCATCTATATAAATAAGCATGTAAACAGCGTGTGCAATAACCCTTGTTTCATCCTACAATAGTTTTTTTAAACTTCCTTTAGCACATTCTTCTTCTTTGACTATTTGAGCTGATTTAACGAGTAAATTTCTCCAATTTGAGGTCAGTAAAGTCAAACCATCAATCAATTCTGTGGCTTTTGGCCCTTCAAGGTTTAAAGGGAAGTTTATTCCTATAAAAGCTTTCATGAACGCAGACGTTTTTTAAATAAAGAGGGATAGATGTTTAAAATGTTAAATTAGGAATTTAAAACGGATAAAAGTCAAAAATGATTCTTAATTCTTTGTGGGAAGGTCCGACTAAATGTCAGCGTTTCTGTCCTGATTCCAAGCAGTTTCTAGATCTCTGATTTTCAGGGAGTTTTTCTAAAAAAATTGGATGGATGGGTTTAATGGATTTTATTCTTGCTAATGAGGCGAGGGTTTCAAAATGGGAACAAATAGAAAATAATTTTTTTTTTTTTTTTTTCCTAGATCAAACTGAATTTAACAGAAACTTCTGTTCAGATTTTCCTTTAACGTCGGTTATGGCTCCATGTCTCTCCTCAGTGACCATCATCAGTGGCATCATCATGCTGATCCTGTTCGTCTCAGAGCTGCAGTACTACCTGACTAAAGAGGTGAGCTCCTCATCTGACCGTCGTTTGTGGGATTAAATCCTTCCACGCCTAAGCTGCAGCTTCCCCTTTCGGACGTCTGCTTCATTCCATTGTTCCACTGCCTCTCGTTGTGTTATAAAGATGTAAAACTGCAGAGATTTATCAGGAAATCTGTTAATCCTCGGTTGTGCAGAGATTTTCTTCAACAATCTGTTCACAGAGGGGGATTATCAGCTTTTTATTTCAAAACGATGAAACATTTCAGCTGTTTTCAGTCCGATTCTAAGCGGACCTCCTGCAAACCTCACAGCAAGCTGAACTTTAACTCTAAAACACCTGAAAGCACCAGGTGAGGGTTTCCCGTCAGACTGGTTTGGCGGCTGTTATCAGCGGGAAGCTGCATATTATCAGCCATTAGAAACCTTCTAGAAGGCAGAGGAGTCGCAGTCTGGAGCCATTCTATGTGACTAGTAGCCGCTAATAACGGCCATTTATTGGTTGATCACATCCGAAACGGAGACCTTTAACAACTGTGGCAGTTAACAACATTGCCTCACATCCAGTCTGCTGCGATCACAGATTAACAGCTGTAGATTGGCCTAAACTCGCAGATTAGCAGCTGTAGATTGGCCTTAACCCACAGATTAGCAGCTGTAGATTGGCCTTAACCCGCAGATTAGCAGCTGTAGATTGGCCTTAACCCGCAGATTAGCAGCTGTAGATTGGCCTAAACCCGCAGATTAGCAGCTGTAGATTGGCCTAAACCCGCAGATTAACAAGTGTAGATTGGCCTAAACCCGCAGATTAGCAGCTGTAGATTGGCCTTAACCCGCAGATTAGCAGCTGTAGATTGGCCTTAACCCGCAGATTAGCAGCTGTAGATTGGCCTTAACCCGCAGATTAGCAGCTGTAGATTGGCCTAAACCCGCAGATTAACAAGTGTAGATTGGCCTAAACCCGCAGATTAACAAGTGTAGATTGGCCTAAACCCGCAGATTAGCAGCTGTAGATTGGCCTTAACCCGCAGATTAACAGCTGTAGATTGGCCTAAACCCGCAGATTAACAAGTGTAGATTGGCCTAAACCCGCAGATTAGCAGCTGTAGATTGGCCTAAACCCGCAGATTAGCAGCTGTAGATTGGCCTAAACCCGCAGATTAGCAGCTGTAGATTGGCCTAAACCCGCAGATTAACAGCTGTAGATTGGCCTAAACCCGCAGATTAGCAGCTGTAGATTGGCCTTAACCCGCAGATTAGCAGCTGTAGATTGGCAGAAACTCGCAGATTAGCAGCTGTAGATTGGCCTTAACCCGCAGATTAGCAGCTGTAGATTGGCCTAAACCCGCAGATTAGCAGCTGTAGATTGGCCTAAACCCGCAGATTAACAAGTGTAGATTGGCCTAAACCCGCAGATTAGCAGCTGTAGATTGGCCTTAACCCGCAGATTAGCAGCTGTAGATTGGCCTTAACCCGCAGATTAGCAGCTGTAGATTGGCCTAAACCCGCAGATTAGCAGCTGTAGATTGGCCTAAACCCGCAGATTAACAGCTGTAGATTGGCCTAAACCTGCAGATTAGCAGCTGTAGATTGGCCTTAACCCGCAGATTAGCAGCTGTAGATTGGCAGAAACTCGCAGATTAGCAGCTGTAGATTGGCCTTAACCCGCAGATTAGCAGCTGTAGATTGGCCTTAACCCGCAGATTAGCAGCTGTAGATGGGCCTAAACCCGCAGATTAGCAGCTGTAGATTGGCCTAAACCCGCAGATTAGCAGCTGTAGATTGGCCTTAACCCGCAGATTAACAGCTGTAGATTGGCCTTAACCCGCAGATTAGCAGCTGTAGATTGGCCTTAACCCGCAGATTAGCAGCTGTAGATTGGCCTTAACCCGCAGATTAGCAGCTGTAGATTGGCCTTAACCCGCAGATTAGCAGCTGTAGATTGGCCTTAACCCGCAGATTAGCAGCTGTAGATTGGCAGAAACTCGCAGATTAGCAGCTGTAGATTGGCCTTAACCCGCAGATTAGCAGCTGTAGATGGGCCTAAACCCGCAGATTAGCAGCTGTAGATTGGCCTAAACCCGCAGATTAACAAGTGTAGATTGGCCTAAACCCGCAGATTAGCAGCTGTAGATTGGCCTTAACCCGCAGATTAGCAGCTGTAGATTGGCCTTAACCCGCAGATTAGCAGCTGTAGATTGGCCTAAACCCGCAGATTAGCAGCTGTAGATTGGCCTAAACCCGCAGATTAACAGCTGTAGATTGGCCTAAACCCACAGATCAGCAGCTGTAGATTGGCAGAAACTCGCAGATTAACAGCTGTAGATTGGCCTAAACCCGCAGATTAGCAGCTGTAGATTGGCCTAAACCCACAGATTAGCAGCTATAGATTGGCAGAAACTCGCAGATTAACAGCTGTAGATTGGCCTAAACCCGCAGATTAGCAGCTGTAGATTGGCCTAAACCCGCAGATTAGCAGCTGTAGATTGGCCTAAACCCGCAGATTAACAGCTGTAGATTGGCCTAAATCCGCAGATTAGCAGCTGTAGATTGGCAGAAACTCGCAGATCAACAGCTGTAGATTGGCCTAAACCCGCAGATTAGCAGCTGTAGATTGGCCTAAACCCGCAGATTAACAGCTGTAGATTGGCCTAAACCCACAGATCAGCAGCTGTAGATTGGCAGAAACTCGCAGATTAACAGCTGTAGATTGGCCTAAACCCGCAGATTAGCAGCTGTAGATTGGCCTAAACTCGCAGATTAACAGCTGTAGATTGGCCTAAACCCGCAGATTAGCAGCTGTAGATTGGCCTAAACTCGCAGTTTAACAGCTGTAGATTGGCCTAAACCCGCAGATTAGCAGCTGTAGATTGGCCTAAACCCGCAGATTAACAGCTGTAAATTGGCCTAAACCCGCAGATTAACAGCTGTAAATTGGCCTAAACCCGCAGATTAACAGCTGTAAATTGGCCAAAGCCTGCAGATGTTTTAAGATGTAGAGGTAATAGCTTATAAAAATATAAGTTTCATTCATACTGTAACTCTATGGTACCTGTATTTTATTCATAAATACACGTGCCCACACCCCTGAAATGATAAGTTTTATTTATTTTTTTCCACCCATAGATGTAGGTTTTATACGACCTGACCTGTTGCTGGTCTGTGGTCAGGTAGCATGGGGGTTTCTGCAGTACATAGGAGGGATAGAGTTTTAGGTCCAGACTGATGGCTGCAGATTCTCCTGCAGGATCTTCTGCTGAAACGCAGCATTTCCAGTTTCATCAGTTACTGCAGCTCCTCCAGGCCCTGAAGCAGCAAAGCAGCCGCTGTCTGTTTTGTAGCAGAGCTTTTACTTTGGTCCAAATAATGTCAACCTTTCAGTGTTTTCATGAAATGAAAGTTTGCTGTGGTCCCTCAGGTCCACCCTGAGCTCTACGTCGACACGTCCAGAGGAGACAAACTCAAAATTAACATCGACGTCATTTTCCCCCACATGCCCTGCGCCTGTAAGTTCTGCCTGTTTTAAAAAGTTCTGTTCAAACACCGACTGGACTTGGGTTCACGAAGCCGTCTCTCAGATCTCAGTATAGATGCGATGGACGTGGCTGGTGAGCAGCAGCTGGACGTGGAACACAACCTGTTCAAGCAGCGGCTGGATAAGGATCTCCAACCGGTCACCGACGAGGCAGAAAAACACGGTAACCTCTCTGCGCTTTGACCTTTCACCCTTTGGACTGTGATCAACCTGTTAGACAGAAAGCTTCAGATGCAGCTAGTTATAGTTTGTTTCAATTAAATATTCATGTTTAGGATGTTTGGCTGAACACAGAGCTGCCAAGTAACAAAGTACAAATACTTCCTTAAGTAGAAACGTTGGTTATAATTTAAAAGAGAAATTATTTTTTGGACAACTTTTTACTTATACTCCTTTTTTTTATTTTATGTATGTGTCTACGTGTGTGTGTGTGTGTGTGTGTGTGTGTGTGTGTATATATATATATATATATTCTAAAGTGAAAGCATTAAAATATATTTTTTTAATCAAGACAATTTCTCAGTGCTGCCCCAACTTGTTGTTCACCACATGCAAAAATAAAGATTCCCAAGATGATGCAAAGTAAAATTTGACACAGTTACCATTAGTTATAGAACTAAGAAAACAAAGTTTAAGAAAGTTATCTAGAATTGTAGTAAAATGTTCCTTTAATAGGGTAGCGCAGTAAAGCTTCTGTCCTTAACATTTTGTCCTGCATTACTTTTACTTTTATAGTTAAAGTAGATCAGTAAAATTGTCTCCTTCCCAGATCAGCTTCTCTGATTGGTAGATGCCAATTGTGACGCCTTGATGCACGTCAGCCATTGAATTTGCATGGAGACTAGCTGCTTCTGTAGCTAGCGGACTGAACGTAGCATAAGACAGCAGCTAAAAACAGAACGGTTGGCGTCTCTGTCCCGATTAGCTGCTTATCTTTCCACTTTGTCTCCACTTTGAACAGAAATGATGTCACTCTGCCTCACATTTCTACCTGCTGATCAGAGAAAATGGGCCTGTGGCTCTATGTTAGTATGTCTAGGCTGCCCTATTTTCCAGGAAAGAGAGGAGCTGCTGCTCAGAGAGCAGAATTCATAAGGGTTACTCAAATATGCATGAGTCAAGCAAAACTTACAATCATTACATTAATATTTTTTTTTTATATAGCCACTCATAAAAGTTTATTTTGCAGGAAATTTGCTATTTGAATTAATCGTTCTACTAAAGTTAAACTTCTGAATACAGGTCCTTCTCAAAATATTAGCATATTGTGATAAAGTTCATTATTTTCCATAATATAGTGAAAAAAATTGGACATTTATATATTTTAGGTTCATTGAACACTAACTGAAATATTTCAGGTCTTTTATTGTCTTAATACGGATGATTTTGACATACAGCTCATGAAAACTCAAAATTTCTATCTTACAAAGTTACAGTATTTCATCCGACCAATAAAAGAAAAGCCAACCTTACAAATAATTCTGCACGGTTATGCACAGCTTCATGTTGTTTTCTAAACCATCGACGGTTCTGTTGTCAGAGCTGGGTGGAGCTGATGACGGGGCAACGTTCGACCCGAGCACGCTGGACCCCAACAGATGTGAGAGCTGCTACGGCGCCGAGACCGAAGACCTGAAGTAAAACACCCGCCCACTCAGCCTCTGCTCGTCCGGAAGGCCTGGGATTTAACCGCTAACCGTCTGCGTGTGTGCGTGCAGGTGCTGTAACACCTGTGACGACGTCCGTGAAGCGTACCGGCGGCGCGGCTGGGCCTTTAAAAGTGCCGACACCATCGAACAGTGTAAGAGAGAAGGCTTCACGCAGAAGATGATGGAGCAGAAGAACGAGGGCTGTCAGGTTTACGGCTTCCTGGAGGTCAACAAGGTGATATCTCTTTATTTCCTCTGATTCCATGTATTCTTTATTCATAATCATTAGTTTTCTTGTTGCTTTAAAACGTTAAAATGTGCCCTGAGTCATTTCTTCTAATTTTTTTTTTTAGGTGGCAGGAAACTTCCACTTTGCTCCAGGAAAAAGTTTTCAACAGTCCCATGTCCACGGTAAGCAGCTGTCTTTCACTCCACTCCATCTGTCCCTCCATTAAAGGTTTAAACACCCTTTGTCAGGTTTTGGTAGCGCAAACCGGAGCCTTTTGAAAGCTCTGATTCAAAGGCATGTCTGAAAATCTGAGGCTGTTTAGTTTAACCAGCTCTAATCTGGTTCCCTTCACTTAAACTGAGCCTTAAGTTTTAAACCAAAGCAATAATGATCTGGATTTGAGCTGCAGTCTAAATATGTTTCTTTAAAACAAAATTAGGGAAAATTTTAATGTTTATTCTATATAGCATAGCAAGACAACCACAATAAAGGGTGTTTTTAAACTTGATTAATCCTCATGTTGATCATTAATCCATCTTCATTCATATGATGTAGATTTTAGGACACCCTCAGGTTCTAAACCTCAGATTCCTCCGTCTCCGTCAGCTTTAGATTTATTTAAAGCAGAGGTTTGAAAACTGCAGCGGTTTGATCATCCGTCACTGATTGAAGATGATGGAAACATTAAACCGTCGGTCAGACGGCGGCTGATGGATTATTTCTCAGTAGAATCAGCTCTAACAGGAAAACCTTAAACTGCATACAAACTTCTCTTTCTCCACGTTTTCCTCTCAAAGGGATGAGCTGAAGGTCGCTGCTAATGCTGGATGATTGCATGCTTCTCCCTTTGCTCTAAACTGAACCTTAGGTCATAAAATAAAGATTAGTGTCATAAAAATTGATAACAGAGCTGTTTCCTGCTGCTGCCACAGTCAACGATGGTTCTCAGGTCTTAGGAAGAATCTCATCAGGTCTTTGGTCTCATGAAACGGATGGAAATCTTTGAAATCTTGACCAACCAAGCACATAATAGACATAAAAAAAATATATATTTTGGGTTACACAAAGTGTATACTATATATATATATATATATATATATATATATATATATATATATATATATATATATATATATATATTAGGGGTGGAATGATTCACAAAATCCACGGTTCGGTTCGATTCGATACATGTTGATTGTTACACCGAAATTCCATAAAAAATTATGAAATTAATGAAAAAATCCCCCCAAAAATAATGGATTGTAATTATTTTAAATGATCCGCGGAAACCCTGGATCATTTCCGTATGTTTTGCTGCTTTGAATTTAATCATCTGGTGCATGCTCTCTAACCTGAGAGCTTCCAGGTTAGAGAGCATGCATCTGGCTGTTGTCAGGTTACATGCTCTCTACCATCTCCAAGGAACTCAGAGGGGAGCAGACGAAGCCACAGTGGGGGCTGTAGGCTTTGCTTTGAGCAGCCGGTCTGGAGCGCAGCGGGGGTTGCTGACGGAGTATGAGGGATTTCGGGGTTAGCATGACATGTTGCTGTTAGCATAAACAAAACGTGTTGCACAATGCTTGCACACTGTTGCACTTTTATCCACAACTTTCTTTCCGCTGTCATCGTAGGTCACTCTAAATGCAAAGCGCTCCCATACAGCAGACCTATAAAGTGCTGCTGGCGCGTCTTCCAACTGCTGTTCTTTCCCACTCGCCATACCCACACAATTCTCCACAACAACTGATTTTTTCCCCCTGCTACACACGCTAAGCTGCTTTGCTTCTTCTTCTTCTTGTTTACTACTGGCGGTTGGCTTTGGTCGCAGTACCGCCACCTTCTGCTCTGGAGTGTAAACGCTTCCTCTATGAGAAAAAGGAGCAGCGCGCGAACCGAACGAAACACACGCGAACCGAACCGAGACAGTCGAACCGAACGATTCTGACGGTTTTCATAAATCGTCCCATCCCTAATATATATATATATATATATATATAGTGTAATTGATGTCCGAGCGCTGCCGGTCTTGTTTAACTTGCAATGAATCATGGGAAATGCTGGGATATTCCACTTCCACGCTTCAAATCAAAAAAGAGGGAGACATTTATCGGATTTTAAGGAGTCTTGGGAGTCGGGGATGGGGGGTGGGGGGGTGGTACGGGGGTTGGGGGGGTCTTTGGGACAGACTTTGATGCGGAGCGGGAATAGAATTGTTCTCCACACTGGAAAAAAAATCTAAATCTAGATAAGTCATGTTTTCTTAAAATAAGTGCATTTGTTCTTGAATTGAGAAGGTTAAAGAGACATTTTGCCAATGGAACAAGACAATTTACACAATTGCATTGTCTTATTTCAAGTGCATTTTATCTAAATATCTTATTTTAAAAGCAAAAATACTCATTCCGTTTGCAAATCATCTAATTCACCCGCCGAAATTAAGGGTAAATACTAGGGGTGTAAATCACACCTATCATGGCGATTCCATTCAGTATCAATTTTCTGACCCAGCGATTCGATTATTTTCGATACTCAGGAATAAACCACGATACGATTCGATTAATTGTTTTTTTTCTTCACACCCTACAGACTAGACAATGTTTCAAATTTGAAATAAATCAATGAAAGCTGCAATAACGTTATGCTTTTTTTTTTTTTGAGAAACAACAGCAAATACAGAAGTAGAAAAGTTGCACTCCACCTATTCCTATTAAAACCTCATTCACTGAAAAATAACAGTCAATGAGTTGAAAAACGAATCGTGAAGTTTGACCCGCTAGAAGAGCGAGGTGCATGAGAATAAAAGCTCTCTCTTTTCACACCTCAGACATAAATTCCTAAGACAAGAGAACGAAAAGGTTGTTTTTTCTCCCTGAAACCTAATAACTCAAGGCCTGAGGATGTCCTAAAATGTTCACCATACATTCTTTCATCCATCGCCACCATCCTGCCCTGAACAGGCTAACAGTGATCATAGAGCAGCATAAAATCCCAGCAGGGTTTCACCCTCCGCTGTTAATGCTGCCTTTTTATCAGATGTTGACTTCAGAGCTGGCCTTCTTTATCAGTTGAGGGTTTTTTCTTTCAGGAATTTGCTCGATGCTGTTAATCCAGCAGTTAATGGCAGAGTAGATCAAACTGTCCACCACAGATTACAGAATGATTGATTGATGGAGGAGGGGGCTTGAATTTCCTTCTCTCTCCTTGCTTCTCATCTACCGTAATTTTCAAACTATAAGCCGCGACTTTTCCCCCATTTTTCGACCTTGCGGCTTATCTATGGACTTTTACACCTAACGGCCACTAGAGTAATACCTAAACCTACGGATTTTACCATCCGCCATGTTGACGTCACATTTACTTCAACACACAAGTACGGTAGCCGCGCGCGCGGGAATGCGGAGATCCTCCGGAAGCAGACTTCTACCGCGAGTGGTACGAGACAGAACGACAGCGAGAAAGACGGACATTAAGCATGGATTAGAGCTGCAACTAAGGATTATTTTCATAATCAATTAATCTGTTGGTTATTTTTTTTTTATTCACCTATTAATAATTGGATTGCCAAAGATTTTATACAAAATTAAACCAGGTGAAATAAAAAAATTTCAGTTGGTGGAGTTCTGGATTATAGAGCAGAATGATAATCTTAATCTTAAATGCTAAATATTTATAGATTTATTTTCACAATTTTGGTATAATTACTGCTCTAAGTGGGTCATTCTGTCAGCTAAAGGTATGTCTAGAATTTCTATTCTCCCGTTAACGATTATGGTAATCAATTATTGAATTAGTTGACGATTATTTCAATAATCAATTACAGGGTTTCCGCAGGTCATTAAAAATCATTAAATTATTATCTCTTATATTAAGGCCTTAATTGGCTTTAAATTCAGAAAATGTGATATAGTACTATTAAAAATGCCTTTTAAAATGCTTTATTTAAAAAAATAAAAGTAAAATTTCGTCAGATATATTATATTGCGATATATTTTAAAGCTAGATGAACGGGAAAAAGGAAAACAAGGAATTTGGGACATGGCTGCTGCTTGTCGAAGGTAAAGATGACGAAGGATTTTACCCTGTTATATATAAGTTGAGATATATATATATTAGAATTCAACTTTGTCATTGCACTTTCATCCATAGGCCATATGGCATCTATCCAGACGTGCTATGCAGGATATAAATATTATTACAGGTGTATGTTCAACTAAAAAGTAATAGTAAGGGACTATAAAAAGTTGTGTATAAATAAATATATATATATATATTTATATTTATTATGGGTACTTTATGATGGCATTAAAATTATTTCTAAGAGCATTAAATTTACTTTAGTTACTCATTCCTGTATAAACCCTGAATTAATCACGATTAATGTTGTTAAAACTCTGAATAGCTCCAACCTGTTGGACCCAGTTCTGCAGTGGCTCCATAGAGGCCATCTTTGCCTGTAAGGAGCTGCTTTAAAAATCTATCTGGAAACCTGATCAGACAGAAAAACAAACATTTTGTTTTAAAATGATCTAAAACCACTGGTAACCACTGTAATCCTGTCACTAGGAGAGCACTGAAGTCACAGCAGATTATTCCATCTTTCATCTCCAAAGCTGCTGCAGAAACGCACCAACAATCCTCCTGTAGCTTTAAATCAGAGCAGGAAATTAAAACTAGAACCCAAACAAATGTTGGTATCTGTTCAAAATCTCCCCTGTGATGGGATTTTAACCGGGATTGGCTGCAGGTCTTAGCTGGGATTAAATCTGGATCCCCTGCACTGGTTTTAGTTTCCTGTGCCAAAACATGCATGCATGCTGTGCTCTGAACATTTTTCCATTCGTTGCTCTCATTTATATTTTAAGTCTTTGCAGCAGAAATTAGATGAGAATCACATCAGGAGTTCCTTCCTAATAGAACCTCCTACTCATTCAGACCAAAACACCTCCTGTCCCAGAGCAATGTCTTCCATTTAAAATCTGTGGGTCGAGCTGCACAGTACTTGTAGTTAATCTCATAGATTATTTTTTCTTGATATGATGTAAAATCGTTTTTTTTTTCAATTTAACCAACTCTTGAGGTGATTGACTGATTTGATTCTCAGTGAATCTGTGTAGAAATGTCTGAAAACCTTTTTATCAGAGTTAAAGGGAAAAGCTGTGCAGCTCCACCTTCAGCCTCCTCTCTCTCTCTCTTTCGCACGTCGTGGTTTGTTGTCTGCTGCACTATTCTTGTGACTCTTTTCTCTTCTTTCTGCAGTTCACGCTGTGGAAAGTAAGTCCATCTTCCTTTGCAGATATGTGACTTTGAATGCATGTAGTATGTGTGAAAGTATTTGTGTGAATAAAGTGTCCTCGGTGTGACGGGAGGAGCTTTAAGGTGTTGAAGTTTCTAAGTTAATATCTCAGCTCAATAAATGTATTTATTGTATTTTTGGGGGCAATTAATTGTATGCTTATTCATTTATGGAGCATTTATTTTTTTATGTATTTATTTTTAAATATGGCAGAGCTGGTCCTCCATAGATAAAAGCTCCAGCATAAAAATTTAAACGTATCTGATTTGTTTAGATCTTTTGCCTCAGTTTCTGATAAGTTTTAGCCTGACGTAGTCCTACTCAATTCTTGTCAGAATATGAGTCTGATACTGCTCCATAGAGCTGTGATTATGGGGCGTGTTTTGAACGAACCAGGAAAAAAAATGCCTCTGCACTCAATTGGACAGACCTACAACCAATAAGAGCAACGGAGTGCGTGACGTATGTTAAGTGAGGCATAGTTGTTGTCAACAAAAATCAAAGTATGCAGTTGCACACCTATAATAAGAAGATGAGACTTGATCGCGTTTCTCTGTTCCTCTTTTAAAATTAATTTGCTGTCGATATCTTCTAGAACAGACCTAATAGCAGAATCTACTCACCCAAACTCTCCAGCGGCAGCCATTGTTGTTGTCACCCATGCGCGCTTTGGTCACGTGGTTGATTACGTTACTGTTGATCATCTGTCCATCATCGTATAAAGCCCGCCCTGACAATTTGATTGGATCGCCTGACAGTGGGCGATAATACTCGCGCTACTATGGAGCAGAGCCAGACCGAACTTCCCCGAACTCAAACCTTGTGGGCGGGACTAAGTTCGGACTGGCACCCAGGCTAGATAAGTTTACTGTTCTTTGATAAAAAAACACAAAGACTCTCTGATGTTTAATAGATGTTAAATTGTGTTTGGTTTTCATCCTAACAAATCTGAACTGGTTCCTTCATTCAGCGGCTTGTTGATTTAACTCTAATAGACGGACAGGATGTGATGTCATCTGCATTTTAATTTCATCAGATTCTCTTTTCTCACACAAACTTTTAACTTTAAGCAAATCTTCAGTTAAGCTTATCTTGATTTTCCTCCTTTGTTAGTTTGTTAAAATCGGCCTGAAGTTGTGAACTTAACGTTACTGAAAGATTTTAAATGTGCTGAAGGTAGAAGGTTGATGCTCCTTTGATAAAGTCCTGATGGTTTAAATGGTTCAGATGACAGAAGCTTCACTGGGCTCCTCTAAGGATGTGATTATTTTAGCCACATCGGCCTTTTTTCAGAAGTTGGGGAGCAGATTTACCCCAAAATCCCAGATCCTCCGTCTCTGCCCCGCTGCGCTTCAGCAGCGGGGCAGAATTCTCCGGTCTAACTTCCGTGGAGCTTGAGGAGATCCTGCGCTGATCTACTGAGAAATAATCCATCAGCCGCCGTCTGACCGCCTGTTTAATGTTTCCATCATCTTCAATCAGTGACGGATGATCAAACCGCTGCAGTTTTCAAACCTCTGCTTTAAATTAATTCTTCTAAAGCTTCATTTGGCTTAAATGTTACAAAAAAAAGCTGTAAAGCTGATTTTCTGTCAGTTTCTTCTGTTCTACAGATGGTCAGGCTTCCTTTGATCTATAATATATATATATATATATATATATATATATATATATATATATATATATACACACTCACCGGCCACTTTTTTAGGTACCCAATGCTAGTAACGGGTTGGACCCCCTTTTGCCTTCAGAACTGCCTCAGTTCTTCATGGCATAGATTCAACAAGGTGCTGGAAGCATTCCTCAGGGAGTTTGGTCCATATTGACATGATGGCATCACACAGTTGCCGCAGATTTGTCGGCTGCACATCCATGATGCGAATCTCCCGTTCCACCACATCCCAAAGATGCTCTATTGGATTGAGATCTGGTGACTGTGGAGGCCATTTGAGTACAGTGAACTCATTGTCATGTTCAAGAAACCAGTCTGAGATGATTCCAGCTTTATGACATGGCGCATTATCCTGCTGAAAGTAGCCATCAGAAGTTGGGTACATTGTGGTCATAAAGGGATGGACATGGTCAGCAACAATACTCAGGTAGGCTGTGGCGTTGCAACAATGCTCAATTGGTACCAAGGGGCCCAAAGAGTGCCAAGAAAATATTCCCCACACCATGACACCACCACCACCAGCCTGAATCGTTGATACAAGGCAGGATGGATCCATGCTTTCATGTTGTAGACGCCAAATACTGACCCTACCATCCGAATGTCGCAGCAGAAATCGAGACTCATCAGACCAGGCAACGTTTTTCCAATCTTCTATTGTCCAATTTCGATGAGCTTGTGCAAATTGTAGCCTCAGTTTCCTGTTCTTAGCTGAAAGGAGTGGCACCCGGTGTGGTCTTCTGCTGCTGTAGCTCATCTGCCTCAAAGTTCGACGTACTGTGCGTTCAGAGATGCTCTTCTGCCCACCTTGGTTGTAACGGGTGGTTATTTGAGTCACTGTTGCCCTTCTATCAGCTCGAACCAGTCAGGCCATTCTCCTCTGACCTCTGGCATCAACAAGGCATTTCCGCCCACAGAACTGCCGCTCACTGGATGTTTTTTCTTTCTCGGACCATTCTCTGTAAACCCTAGAGATGGTTGTGCGTGAAAATCCCAGTAGATCAGCAGTTTCTGAAATACTCAGACCAGCCCTTCTGGCACCAACAATCATGCCACGTTCAAAGTCACTCAAATCACCTTTCTTCCCCATACTGATGCTCGGTTTGGACTGCAGGAGATTGTCTTGACCATGTCTACATGCCTAAATGCACTGAGTTGCCGCCATGTGATTGGCTGCTTAGAAATTAAGTGTTAACGAGCAGTTGGACAGGTGTACCTAATAAAGTGGCCGGTGAGTGTATATAAAGATAATTCATGAAATAAAAACATGCTACAGATTCTAGCAGTGTTTTTGAATACGACAAAATAAGGTAAAATATTTAAATTTGCACTTATTTTATTGAATTATAAACATGTCAAACCTGATGCTATTGCAGAGCAAAGAAAGTGGAAAATTTCTGCTTCAATGTAAATATTAGGGGATAAAATTTACAGATTTCAGTTTCTGCAGATTAACTCTTAGTAAACTTTTTCTTCCATTTAAAACTGTTCTGTTGGTCAAACTACTTTGGCAGAAGGATTGAACGACATGATGCTGAAAGCCTCTCCAAGGGGAACGCGTTAAAGATCCATGTTTTCCCTTAGAATTCAGCTGCTCGTTAATATTCTACATGTTTCTTTATTTTGATTCTTTTTAGGCTTTTAATGAAGGTTTTGTATATTTTTGAATCATTTTTAATAATTGTTTCATTCTTTTTTTTTTTTCCAGTCCATGACCTGCAGAGCTTTGGACTAGATAATGTAAGTTTCCTATTTGTGTGATTCTGTAATAGTGAGATATTTTTTTCTTCAATCAGGAGGTTTTTATTGATAAAATTAAACTTCAGTTAATGTAGAAGGAAATGAGGAGCCTGAAGATGTTTGCCTCTGACTGAGCAGCTCAGTTTAAACCTGTTTTTTTCTGCTCACCTCCTGCTGTGCTGCAGATCAACATGACGCATCTGATTAAACACCTGTCGTTTGGTAAAGATTACCCCGGCATCGTTAACCCGCTGGATGGAACCGACGTCTCGGCGCCGCAAGGTAACAGCCTGGACTAGCTTTACTTTCAGACTTCTTTGTAGAAATGTTGCTCCTACCAAACTTTTGTTTCTAGCTTTGAAAATTTTTTTTTTTTTTTTTTATATATAGATTTGAAGCATAATCTTGTTTAATGAATCCAATTCATGCTCTAAATTCAACTGTAATGGACCAGAACTCTGTGATAAGTTCTGGTTCCTTCTTACGTTGGATGATCTGGTTCTGTGGCCTCGTCAGAAAACATGACACGTTCTCTCTGGAGGTGATTGGACAAACCTGAACTTTTATTGACAAAAACTAGAGTGTGGGTTGAGAAGGCGACAGATAGCCGGCAGAGAGCTGTGGTTTGATAAGTCCCATGGCTGTACAGTTGTTGGAGGAAAGGGGAGGAAGTCCTCAGCAGCGGATGCCCATTCCGATGGCCATGAAGGTGCCGAAAGTCCCTCCGCTCTGCATCATGGTCTTCCCCACGCCTCCCATCAGCTCCCTGCCTCGCATACCGATCCTGCAAACATACAAAGAGTTTAACTTAGTCCTGGTTTCACTTCCTAACCAAATGTCAGCATAATTAAAGGGGAGACTCCATTAATCAGAAAGCTTTGATTCAAAGCAGTTAATGTTCTTCCTTCAGCTACAGCAACGTTAAATAAATTATGTAAATAATGACATTAGATCAGTGCCGGTTTTCCAGTGGGGCTAAGAAATCATGCATGAGGAAAACCTATTATATTAGTAATTGACTAACTTAACTAATTACAGGCGTGTTAAACAATAAGTCTAGTTTAGATTTAAAGGGAAAATAAACGAAAACCATAATTAATCCTAAATAATAAACAGCAGAGAAAATTTTAACAGATTATGATGATCTGTGCCTTTTTCTAAATAAATGTCATCTTCTCTTGGGGTTCAGTTCTGGCCCAGACTTACCTGAGACAAGAGAAGGTACCAAACATGGCGCCTGCCGCCATTCCTACTGCAAACCCCATCATGAAGCCCATCTTGACCCGATCAAAGCAGCTCGGCTGGGTCTGGCCGTACGGACCTACAGCTACAGGCATCTAAAAACACAGCAGCACAATTCAAAGTCATTTTTCAAGAGTTATTGGTGTGCAGAAGCAGCACAGTTTAGCCACAGACAGAAAGGTCGGCTTGTTTAATTTTATAAAACCACTGAGATGAAAAACTGCTGAACAGTAACAGGCTCAGAGCAGCGATTTCTGGAGCTTTCTACACCCTTTTAATATTAATGATCATTTCAAGATAAAAGGAGACTTTTTCTTCCAATTAAAAGTTAATCCATTCAGTATTAATTTAAAACTTAAACATTGAGAAGCTCTAACGGACCTTACAATTAATCATATAAAGGAGGCCCCTCTTAAGGCCTGGTTATCCCCCTGCAGCAGTGTGTCGCAGTTAGCTTGTCGCAGACATTTTTGATTTATGCCCAATATTCGGGAAGAACTAAAACAAAAAAGAGCTAGGATTTCATCTGAGTAGCAAGAAATATGAAGTAAAAACCTTTACATTTAATGCTAAATGTTGAGATAATGAGTGTTAGCAGTAAGAACAGGATAAAGTAACATTTCTAAGGTCAGTGTGGGATTCCTCCCATTCTTTAGTTTCAAAGTCCAAAGCAAATAAAGATAAGTTTGTTTGACATGACTCATTAAACCCAAACTGCACCGCCTCACAGACTGAGAAATAAAATTCAGACAAAAAAAATATATAACGTATATATTTAATATGCCATAGATTAAACAATAGAATAAGAATAAAGGGATTTAAAAGACATGAAAGAACCTGCATCTGAGAGATTTTACTATAGAGAATTTAAATATTGAATAGAAGGTTTATAAAATAATTATTGGATCATCAAGTTAAGCCAAAATTCACCCATGATGCCTCCAGGAGAAATAAATAACCAACTGTTATTCCAATAACAGATGAAACCCTCTGGATGAATTTAAATATAGTTACAAGTCGTTTAAGTGAAGGCAGATTATTTAAACTCTGAGTGGTGGAAATAGAGCTTGGGATCCCGAGGTTCTGAGTTTGAGTCCCACTCCCACAGACTGCCACTCTGGGTCCCTGAGCAAGACCCTTAACCCCACACTGCTCCCCAAGGGGATGGGTTAAATGCAGAAATAAATTTCTCCAATGTGAGATCAATAAAGGTTATTTAATTAATCATTAAGTGTTTAAATTGTATTAATATTTAATGTTCATCTTCTTGTGACTGAGCTTTGATCATGTTTACAATGAACTATAGGAGCGACCTCAGCTTTTTAGATGCTGTAGCCGTTTCATTCTGGACCCCCAGAAAACTGCCCTTTATCACCACAGCCCCACTCCACGCGTGACCTCTGCGTTATGTCGTCATCCCCGATGGCTGCTTGTTCATCTCATTTGTATCAGATCTGCTTAGGACCAAGTTCCTTCCTGACTGATTCTACAGTCCTGTTAACCTCTGAACCTGATGGTCGCTCTGTGCTGCTGCAGCTCCGCATCACACCGCCTTTAGCTCATCCACTCCTCGATGCTAACTCATTAGCTCGTCTCTGCTCCTTCAACTGCTAACCGTCCGCGGTTTATAACTAAAACCAATGACGACCTGCCGCTTGTTTATTCGCCATAGTCCGCAGCTGGTTGTGCTAGCTTAGCATGCTAACGTCACCTGTGGCCTTGATCGATAAGGATTCACCTTCAAACCCGCTTTACCCTTAAAACATTGAGCAGTCTGCGTGAAAGCGGCCTTACCTTCACTTATTTTGGTCTGATTATCTCCTAATTTGTCCCTCCGGTTTAAATGTATCCTCTGCTGGAGCCCAGATGCGTTTTAAAAGCCTCACTAGCAGCAGACCTCCATAACCGGAAGCAGAAGGAGAACAGTGGAGAAACAGATACGAGCAAAGTAAACAGCGCCCCCTACGGCCTGGTTTATTATTGCTCCTTTAGCCGCAGAGTTCAACCGGATTATTGTTAGAATGATCTACTGTTTATAATTTTGGTTTGGACTTAAATATTCATAAAATCACTAAAACATAAATAATTTCAACCTTCTGTAGTTAGGAGGACATATGGACCCCTATGTCCTCCTAACTACCAAAACTTTCCTTTGGATTAATAAATGGAACAGATAACATTTACAGAAGGAGATTTTTTATCCTGCATCTTTTTGATGCGTCTTTTGGTTAACATCATTCATATGGGGCCAAAATGGTAGCTTTAATATTTGCAAATGTGTGTGGAGAGTTGTGTGTCTGTATCTCGATTTGTGTGTGTGCAGTGGGATTTGAAAATGTGTAAATAAATCTGTAAATGTGTGAGGAGATTTGTGTGTCTGTACAACAATCTGCAAATGTGTAAAACTACTTGTGCGTAATCCGTTTTGCAAATGTGTAAAAAATCCACAAATCTGTATTCAGATCTGTAAATGTGTACTGAGATTTGCAAATGTGTAAAAAATCCACAAATCTGTATTCAGATCTGCAAATGTGTACTGAGATTTGCAAATGTGTAAAAAATCCACAAATCTGGATTCAGATCTGTAAATGTGTACTGAGATTTGCAAATGTGTAAAAAATCCACAAATCTGTATTCAGATCTGTAAATGTGTACTGAGATTTGCAAATTTGTAAAAAATCCACAAATCTGTATTCAGATCTGCAAATGTGTACTGAGACTTGCAAATGTGTAGATCAATCTGTAAGCACACACAGAGACACTTGTGTCTGAAGTATTTTCGCTTCAAGACCCAGAAATACAGACAAATCATTGGTTACAAGTCAAGCGGTTTTTTCGGTTAGCTCTCTTTACACACGTGATTTTTGCTACTCTTCTGCCGCGTGAGATGCACAAATGCGTAGAAGGATTTGTATGTGTATTTTCGCGATTTGTAACCCCTTGCGCAGGCTCGCAGGCTCACATGCTGCCCTGACCGCAGGCTCACATGCTGCCCTGACCGCAGGCTCACAGGCTCACAGACAGCCTCTACCTTTTTTTATTTTCCTCCGCTGCGGGAGTTGACGTGACAAGGATGATATTGATACCATTCAGTAAGGAAAATTTTTTATCTATTATTAAACAAAAGGTTACGGAAAGATGGCAGAAGCTGTGGGAAGAGCATAGAACTGGAAGTTGGCTTTATAGTATTCAAAGGAAAATTGGTGAAATGAGGAGAACGGAAAGGAATAAAAAAGAGGTTATATCTAGATTAAGTTTCGGAAACACGGGGTTAAATGGAAACTTATTTAGAATGGGAACAGGAGGTTGTGGTTTTTGTTATCAAGGGGAGACGGTGGAGCATGTTTTGTTGTTTTGTTATAAATATTCTATGGAGAGAAGGGTTACAAGAAAATAAATTACAGTTAAATATACAAGATATTTTGGGGGGAAAAAATCTACTTATGATTATTTTTGTAATTTGATAAACAATCTTGAAAAAACGAAATTGATAGAAAGGATATAAGTTTATTTATGTAAATATTGTTAATATTTATTTTTATTTTTCAGTGGGAAAATACATAGCATCCCGATCCACACTCCACTGAAGTAGATGGTGGTAATGCACATCATAAAGTTGCTTGCCAGCCGCCATAAAACAGAAGCAGAAGAAGAAGAAACAGTTTTACTAATGCAAACTATAGAAAAAATTAAAGAAATATACTTACAGAAAGCTGACGGGATTCCATTGCTCTCAACTTAGCAGGTACAACCCCTAGGACCCCAGTAACGTCACGTACTGTACAATACCGCCAACTGGTGGTGTGTGGCTGTATGTGAAGCAAGTTGTGCTGAACTGTCGCAGCAGAGAGAGAGCTGTGAGCCTGTGAGCCTGCGGTCAGGGCAGCATGTGAGCCTGCGAGCCTGCGCAAGGGGTTACAAATCGCGAAAATACACATACAAATCCTTCTACGCATTTGTGCATCTCACGCGGCAGAAGAGTAGCAAAAATCACGTGTGTAAAGAGAGCCAACCGAAAAACCGCTTGACTTGTAACCAATGATTTGTCTGTATTTCTGGGTCTTGAAGCGAAAATACTTCAGACACAAGTGTCTCTGTGTGTGCTTACAGATTGATCTACACATTTGCAAATCCCAGTACACATTTGCAGATCTGAATACAGATTTGTGGATTTTTTACACATTTGCAAATCTCAGTACACATTTGCAGATCTGAATACAGATTTGTGGATTTTTTACACATTTGCAAAACGGATTACACACAAGTAGTTTTACACATTTGCAGATTGTTGTACAGACACACAAATCTCCTCACACATTTACAGATTTATTTACACATTTTCAAATCCCACTGCACACACACAAATCGAGATACAGACACACAACTCTCCACACACATTTGCAAATATTAAAGCTACCATTTTGGCCCCATACATTCGGTTAAAATTTCGGTTAAATCCAGTTTTAGTCCGTGAGGCAGACACACTGTCTACTTTTTTTTTTTTTTTTACATTTAATTTTTTATTGGTATTTTTCACTTTTTTACATATACAGTGTGCATGAACATTATACATTAAACTCGACGTAACATAGAGCTTTCACTTGGGAGCTATTCATCTATTTGGCCTTTGTCCCGTTCAGTTTATTTATTTTTTTATCTTTGTCGCTGTCTTTTGTCTTGAATCTTGTCCATTTCCTCCACTTTTCTACCATTTGAGTTTGGTGAAGTCTTAGACGATGTGTCAGCTTTTTTTATAATGTAGATTTCTTCTAGTATTCCAGTCCATTGTTCTTGACAAGGGGGGTCTGCTGACACACTGTCTACTTTTAAGGCTAGGCTTAAAACTTTCCTCTTTGATAAAGCTTATAGTTAGAGTGGCTCAGGTTATCCTGAGCTATCTCTATAGTTATGCTGCTATAGGCTTAGACTGCTGGAGGACATAGGGACCCCTATTTCATCATTCTGCTTCATTCTATCTCTATTCTCCCACTCTGCAGATTCTATTAGTTCAATCTCTAACGTTCTGCTCTCTCTGCTTTTTCTCATAGTAGCTTCATCTGGTCTGTTCCTGTTTGGCTGTGACTCCATCCTGGAGAGAAACATCAGCTGTGCTGCTGCCATCAACACCTTTGTTTATACATGTTGGAGATCGGCCTGTTTTCCAGTGTAGTCCTGTTTCTCTGACTGTGACTGAGTGGATGTGCTCTCTTCATCCTCTGACATGGGAGCTAGCTTGGAGCTCGTCTGCCTGGCTGTGTGTTTCCTGGACGGGGCCGCCTTTTACAGCTTCTTTTTCTATCTCTGCTTCTGTCTCCTTGAACCCCAGTCAGCCTCAGCAGATGGCCGTTCCAGGAGGTTCCTTCTCTGTTCAAAGGGAGTTTTTCCTCTCCACTGTCGCTACAAGCATGCTTAGTGTGAGGGATTGCTGAAGAGTCAATGAATCGATGCAATCAGCTGGTTTTCCTTAGATAGAAAACTTTGAATCAATCTGACTGGATGATCTGGTGAACTGGAAAGTGCCTTGAGATTACTTGACGTGAATTGGCTCTATAGATATAAACTGAATTGAATTGAAAAAGTTATGAAATCTGTAGAAATAATTCATGTAATTTAGACCTGTTGTTTTTATCTTCACAGCATCCATGATGTACCAGTATTTTGTGAAAATTGTCCCGACGATCTACGTAAAAACAGACGGAGAGGTGGGTTAAACTAACTTTATGCCCATTTGAAATTAATAGAAAATTAACTGTTTTTGTCATATTTTCTCACTGCTTTCATATTCTCCACATATTTTACCATTAAAAAAATCCAAGCTGCTCAGATTAATGTCTTTTTTTTTTTTTTTTGTAACCCCCAGGTGGTAAAAACCAACCAGTTTTCTGTCACCAGGCATGAGAAAGTCGCCAATGGTTTAATAGGCGATCAGGGTCTGCCAGGCGTCTTTGTTTTGTATGAGCTTTCACCCATGATGGTGAAGTTCACAGAAAAACACAGGTACGTTGGTGATACGGACTCTGCCTCATTTCTTTTTCTAGCTGTAGACCAGTTTATAAAATCTACAGCCGAAAAACAGAACCTTCTTTATGAAGCTTTTTCAAAATGATTCACTGTTGTTCACGTTGTTTGTTTGAACCACAGGTTACATGTGTTTTATTTGGATAATATGTAAAAATAGACACAAAGAAGTGCATTATGGTAAAGATGTCTGAGTTCAGCCTCTGGCTGCAGGTCTTACACTCAGCCATCTTTGATCTTTCTTCAGATCAAACGTAGTCAGATTGGAGAGCTGCTGTATCTAATACATAGAGTTTCATATCTTACAACAGTTTGAGGTTGGGTTTAGGCGTGGACTTTGACTAGGCCAGGGGTCTGCAACCTTTCATATCCAAAGAGCCACCCCCCCCCCCCCCCCCCCCCCCCCGAGTCCGACCAAATAAAAACTGTTTAGAGCTGCAAAGTATAAGATGATTTAAAAAAAAAAAAAAAACCTTATTATCTCGTATAGTAAATTAGTTTCCATCTTAAACAACCGACAATTTATGTATTTTTAACTGTTGAACTAATATTAAAACACATAAATTTCAAGCTAAATTGAAGAAAAATGGGTCTAAAAACCTATTTCTGGTTCTTTTAATGTCATTCTTTTCCGTCTTATAAAAACCACTAAAGCTTTTAAGACTGGTATTTATTATGGTACATTATTTAGCACTTTATGTACATTTTAGGCACAATTAAGATCCACTGTAGAGGGTCCAAAGAGCCACAGGTTGCAGACCCCTGGACTAGGCCATTCTAACCTGTGACTCTGCAGGGATCCTACTGCTGGATGAGCAGAAAAAGTCTCAGGTCTTCCAGAGCCTCTAACACAGTGGTGCTCAAGTCCAGTCCTGAAGAGCTACCATCCTCTAACTCTTACATGCATCTATTCTCTAACACACCCGAACCCTGGTAACAAGCCACTCATTTGATTCAGGATTGTTAAAATGGGGTACATCAAAAAGCTGCAGGATAGTAGTTATTAAGGACTGGACTTGAGCATTACTCCTCAAACAGGTTTCCTCCCAGGATTTAACCAGCTCCCCTGTCCCCCCAGCATGATGCTGCCACCCCTGTGTCCACTCTGCACTGTGTTCGGTGTTGCTTTTCCTTCACCCACATAGACTTTCATGTAGGCTGTGAAGTCTGGCTCCCTGTGGTTTTTGTCTCCCTCAGAGCAGCAAACTGAACAGGCCTTCTTATGGCTTTGTTTCAATGCCTGCTCCTCAGTCTAATACAGACTAAATGATTGAAATTAATACTAATAGCTGCCCCGTGGATAGGCGTCCACTAGTGATGGGTTAATGAGGCATCTGAAGCATTAAGACACATTGCAAAACTGTATTGATGCTGCGTTGATACTTTCTCACAGAATACTGACACCTGCTGGACATTTAAAGACACTACAGGCAGCTTATTTCACAGACTAAACCGTTGATTTTATGACCCTATGCAATGATATAATATAAATTATTGTAGGTTATATCTATGTTTAAATTTAAAATATCTTTGATATTTTTAGATGCAGCCAATAAATAATGTAAACATATATCATAATGTGATAGTTTAGGGGAAAATGTGAATAAGGATGCTTGTGGACTAGGATTTAAATCATAATTTTTTAAATAATTAGTACAGTAAAAACTGTAAATAAACTAAGAGTGAGTTTGAAGTTAACTTTAATTCTGATAACTGAGAGAGATGACACTACGAGAAAATTAAAAATAAAAATGGCTCAAACGTTCCTATTCCTTTTAGGCTCCAAAATTCTTGATGATTTTAATGATAGACTGCAAAAGATGAGACATTTTTTTAGCAGATGCATCATGTTGACAGAAACCTTTTTTAAACACAGTTTAGTGTCTCAGTCAGTTAGAAACAACTCCTGTATCGGTCACATGACTTTCTGGAAACAATACGCTCACCTATACAGTGTTTTGCTCTATGGGCTCCATGCATCGCTGTTGCTGGACCCATCACCAGCCTCCACCTTAGTGGTGGATCTCTGCAGCTCCTCCAGAGTTGCTGCTTCTTTAATGATGTTGGTCCATCCTTTCTTCACGTAGAAATGACGGATCCTAAAGCCTAAAACATCTGCAGGATTCCCTCTGTGACCTGCTGGGTTCCTTTTGCTCCGTGATGCTGGTTGATATTTAAATTCTCTGAGGGCATTGCAGTTGGTAGATGAAAATATTTTATTTCTTAGCTAGTGAAAAAAAATCGGGCTGGAATCTGATCTGCTTTGTTTAAACAAGCTTTCATCAACCAAAAAGTACGTTTTTCTTTGAGTTCACCTTCAGCTTTGACACAAACCAAGCAGAGGAACAGCCTGGATGTAGAGAACAGTCAGCTGTTTTTCACACTGAGCTCATCAAAGCACCTCAGCTGTCTTGATAAAAAAAAAAACAAAGTAAACCTGAAGTCAGTCTGACTATAATGTTTTTTTTCCCCCACTTCATCAAGTTTAAATCTGATTATAAGGGAGTTGCTCCAGTTTTATAAATAAAGGTTTATAACCTGATTTTATTTTGTATTTATTTTGATTCCTTATTAACTTCCTGTCAACATATTCAATTCTATTCAGTTTATTTCTATCGCTCCAATTCACATTCAAAGTTTTCTGTCTAAGGAAAACCAGCTGATTGCATCGACTCATTAACTCTCAGCAATCCCTCACACTAAGCATGCTTGTAGCGACAGTGGAGAGGAAAAACTCCCTTTGAACAGGAAGAAACCTCCAGCAGAACCAGGCTCAGTGTGAGCGGCCATCTGCTGAGGCCCACTGGGGTTCAAGGAGACAGAAGCAGAGACAGAAAAAGAAGCTGTAACATGCTAATGTTTTCTATTTAAGATGGAAAGGTTAAATGCAGAACTAAATGCTCAAAATAAAATGTTAATTAAAATAGTCTTTATTTCAGTTATTGTACGTTTCACTTTGGGACAATAATCCATACTTTTGACAGTAAGGGGAACTCATGGTGAGACAAAATGTCCAAAGGGGTAAACGGGTAAAAAAAAAAAGGTCTGAAGAACCTCTGAGGCCAGAAACAGACGCTAAACTCAGTTAATTCCAGGGGAAAAGAAAGAAAAAGGGTTTTTCTTTAAAAACAACATGACGGTTCAGTGAGGTTTATCTACGAAAGTTTAGGGTTTTTGTTATCCTAGTTTAGTTTTTTTAATGGAGAAAGAAAAGTAGTGTTTTAAAGGTTTGTGTTTTTGGTTTGATTCTAGTTTTAATCATTGTTCTGTGTTTCCTTAGTTTCTATTTTGATTAGTTTAATCCTTTCCTAATCATTTGGGTTCGTTTATTTCTTGTCTCTAGTTGCTTTTTTATGTTAGATTTACTTTCCTAGCTCACCTGTTTACTCTTTTTTTTTGGCCACTGCTGCCCTTCGCTCTCTCTCCTCTCACTCCTGCAAACAATTAGCCAACAATTAGAAACAGCAGTTAAACTCAGGCTTTATTACACAAAGCTGGAATAGAATAGAATAGAAATTAATTGATCTCAAACTGGAGAAATTCACTAAGTAAAAGGGGCTAAATAGAAATAAATGCCAAATGTTTCAGTTTCTTTAAAAAATGACTAAAGGAAAGGTGGAAGCTTGGTTGGTGACTGGCTTGATAATAATAAAAAAAATAGTTTGATTCCGACCTGAAGTATAAATGTTGAAAAGATGTCCTCTTTCTTCAGATCATTCACGCACTTCCTGACAGGAGTCTGCGCCATCATCGGAGGCATCTTCACAGGTCAGTCCTTTTGAATCTGCTTCATTCTGATGGTAAAGGAGATTCTGTGAGGCTCAGCCATCTTGTTCTGACTCTCAGTGGCAGGACTGATCGACTCGCTCGTCTACCACTCTGCTCGGGCCATCCAGAAGAAGATAGAGCTGGGCAAGGCGTCCTAACAGATCGCCCGCCTGGTGCCAGCTCTTCAGACCCAGACGCTGAGAAACCAGAGGACAGAAACGGGCAGCGAGGAGGAGGAGCAGGAGGAAGAGTTTGCCTCCTCTCATCGGCTTTGAACCTTTAATAAACTGAGAGAGAAATCCACAGAAGTTCCTCTGGGTTCCTGTGGGAGGAGCTCTGGACAGAAAGAGGCGGAGCTCTTTGGATTTTCCTCTCCACTGTCGGATCTCTTGGCACCGGGAGGAAGGAGACAGACTCTGCCGAGCAGATGGGAGGACATCGTCTCCACAGGCTTTGAGCAGGGAGGAAAAGAACGTCCTCCATGATACATCAGCAGCTTGATCACTACAGGCGCAGCAGGGGACCGAGTCAATTACCTCATTTTACCCTGATGGAGGATTTTAAGTACCGAGGGAACTTAGTCCAGCTTCTCTAACTTCCATCACTCAGACTCTGGTGATGCCGGGAGGATTTGATCTGATTGTTATTCCACATCTTCAGGGGGTCCCATCGTTGTTTCCGCCGCCGCTGTTTTCCTCTGATCTGTGCAGAAGCATTAAAACACTACAACAGGGATCCTCAGCAGCATCACACTGACTCTTTATGCTGCTTCCAAACTCGTTCACATCATCCCCCTGCTGCTGTTGATCCTCCCTGTAGCATCAGGTTTTTAATCCTCACAGAAAGAAAGAAACATTTGATTAAAATCCCAGTTTGCCAAAATTCTTGACTCTTGAATCTGCCCACAGCATGATGCTGCCTCCGCCATGCTTCTTTTAGTGTTGGAAGGGTTTTAAGCCTTAAATGAAATCCTGTAAACTTTCATCAACCTTCGGCTGGTCTGACTTCAGAGCTTCTCTCTGGAGGACGTCCGGCCTGGTTTCCAGATTGCCGATTACGCTGCAACTTCACTGATTTCCAAGCTGTTCTGTCATGAAAACATGCAGATCCTTGCAAGTGTTTGGATGCTGGTGGATGTTTCAGGAGATGTTCAGGCATCTCCTGAAGATCTGCAGAAAGTTTAAGCTGCAGCCAAAGTCTCAGTGAGAAAGCAGGAGAAGGAAGTTGGGAAAATGCTGCATCTTGCTGTGATTTAAAATTGGTTCAGGCAGATTTACAGACACTGACAGAGAGGATCTGTCGGGGAAATGGAGGTTCTGTTCAAGTTCAGCTGCATTAATGAGCCCGGAAGGACAAATCTTTGGGTTTTATCTAGACATCAGAAGGTGGATCCATGCCACCCCAGAAGGTTCTGCTTCTCTAACTTTTTTTATTTTGTTTCTTAATCTGAGGCCAGAACTGCTCATTAACTTCTGGATCCTGATGGCTACCTGGAACCAACATTTCAAACTCTTCAAATATTTTGGACCTCTGTTCAGATCAGTGTTCTGATAAAGTCTAAACCAGGGGGGGAGGGGGGGGGGTTAGACCCCTGATCCCTTTGATCTTTATAAAAGCCAGAAATACCTACAGAACCGTTCCTCCTTTCAGAGTTTCTCTGAGTCTAGACCAGTGTTCCCCCCAGTACCGACAGCCCAGTTCCCTCTGGTACCGACGGCCTGGTGTTCCCCCATTACCGACGGCCCAGTTCCCTCCGGTACCGACGGCCTGGTGTTCCCCCATTACCGACGGCCCAGTTCCCTCCGGTACCGACGGCCCAGTTCCCTCCGGTACCGACGGCCCAGTGTTCCCTCTGTAAACGGACCTGCCTGTAAGCCGTTTTCTGATCTTTCAATTGTCTAAGGTTGTCGCTGCCCATCTGAACATTAAAATCAGGGTGTGTGTCGGTGTGTGTGTGTGTGTCAGAGGTATGTATTTATATTCTGATTGTTCACAGACGGTTTTTAAAGTGATGAAATAAATGTTGAAGACAGCAGCTTCAGCCTCCTGCTTCTCTCTGTTTTTATTGTGAAATGAAGGAAGATCTCAGATTCATTGATGTTTTTTCTTTAACCTGCTGATTTCTGCTGAAATGTTTCAGACCTTCCCATCAATTTTATAATCAGATAAATTTAATCTGAGTGATTTTCTAACAATTATAGGATTTATTATTATCTGATGCAGACGGTGTCTCTAGTAGCTAAGAGTTTTGGTTAAAACTAATGACTTGATGCATGAAGTTTATTGTTTGAATTGCAGACAGGTCACCTGATTATTATGCAAATCAGAAAATAAATTTTCATTTCTAGTGATTTTCAGCAGGTATACTTAATAAATTCTAAATACATAAACCTGACAATTGATTAATTTAAATGAATAACCGTTATTAAACTAATGGATATGCATCATATAAGGTTTGTTTAATAGCTTTGAGTTAAAATTATTTAGAAAATAAATGGAAATTTATTATGTAATAAAGTTACATAGATCCTAAATTATGGCAGAAATATTTTTGTACACTGCTAAAAAAAATTAAAATAAAGGAACACTTTGAAAAAAAACGACTTCAAGGTCCTTCTATAACCAGAAGCTGCCACTAGATGGCGACATCAGTTCAGGAGTACCTGCATAGTGCCATTGTTGTCCTACTGAGATATGAACACAATGATAAAAAAAAAATAGAAGATTTTGGAAGGAAATAACAGCTGCTTTGGAAACTTCCGGTGCCTGAGAGTCAGGGCCACGCAACGCTGACTGGGCCGGCCTCTGGGTCCAGAGGGATTACTGGCATACTGGAATCATAGCTTGGTTATCTGGGATGTGTCAGTGAAATTCTACACACAATAATTCTCTGAGCTGGGAGCTCCGGATTGGAGCAGAACTCCCGCCGGGTCCTGAAGGATTGTCTGAACTGTTGGGTCAGAGCTCCCAGTGAAGAGGTGACACGTTCCGCTGGAAATGCTCCAGGTGATTTAGAGGAACTGGGCTGAACATTCAACCAAATCCTCCTCAAAAACATTTTTGGTGCCAATCCAGGAACATTGCTGCAGGAATTTCTTAATGTTGAGCAACAGGTTTCCACATGTGTTTGGTTAATGTTTGCTCTGAATCATCATGATTATTTTTCTAAGGTATTATAAAGGTCATGCCAGGCTGGGCTGAGGTATGGACTGCTTACTGTTTAAATGTCATTTAAACATTTCTGATGTCATCTGAGGTTTTCTTTGTGAGAGTCAGAGTATGTGCATCCCCATTTGGACCAGCTTGTCCAAAATTGCATCCATCATGAACAACGCCTTTCCCCCTCTGCCCCAGACTGTAGAGGAGGTGAGCAGCTCCTTTAGTGACAGACTCAAACTCCCAGTGTGTAAAAAGGAGCGGTTCATTCATGCCTGCTGCCATCAGACAGTGCCACTGCATCCCGCTGCACTATAACCTGGTGTAATAACACAGCAATAACTTATACTATCTATCTATGTAACAGACCAGAACCTGCACTTTACCTGCCACCACTTTACTTTACATACTATTTATATAATTTCAATTAAGTTTAGTTTATATAGCGCCAATATACAACACATGTCATCTCAAGGCACTTTACAGTTCAACCAGATCAACCAGTCAAGATGATTCAAAGTTTTCTATCTAAGGAAAACCAGTTGATTGCATCGACTCATTGACTCTTCAGCAATCCCTCACACTAAGCATGCGTGTAGCGACAGTGGAGAGGAAAAACTCCCTTTGAACAGGAAGAAACCTCCAGCAGAACCAGGCTCAGTGTGAGCGGCCATCTGCTGAGGCCCACTGGGGTTCAAGGAGACAGAAGCAGACATAGAAAAAGAAGCATAGATACAAAAGGCAACTGTCAACCAGCTCCACAGGCGGCCCGTCCAGGAAACACACAGTCAGGGAGACGAGCTCCGAGCCAGCTCCCATGTCAGAGGATGAAGAGAGCACATCCAGTTAGTCACAGTCAGAGAAACAGGACTACACTGGAAAAACAGGCCGATCTCCAACATCTAGAAACAAAGGTGTTGATGGCAGCAGCACAGCTGATATTTCTCTCCAGGATGGAGTCACAGCCAAACAGGAACAGACCAGATGAAGCTACTATGAGAAAAAGCAGAGAGAGCAGAACGCTAGAGATTGAACTAACAGATTCTGCAGAGTGGGAGAATAGTGATAGAATGAAGCAGAATGATGAAAAAGGGGTCCCTATGTCCTCCAGCAGTCTAAGCCTATAGCAGCATAACTATAGAGATAGCTCAGGATAACCTGAGCCACTCTAACTATAAGCTTTATCAAAAAGGAAAGTTTTAAGTCTAGCCTTAAAAGTAGACAGGGTGTCTGCCTCACGGACTAAAACTAAAGCCACTGCAATATAACCTGGTGTAATAACACTGTAATAACTTGTACTATTTATCTATTCAACGAACCAGAAACTGCACTTTATCTGCCACCATTTTACTGTGTATATAAGTCACCTCAAATCATTTTACCACCCACTGTATATATCTGGATGCACGGTTTATACTTTGTGCTTCTCCTGTTTGTTCATAAAATAGAATAGAAAATCCCTTTATTGTCCCACAATGGGGGTATTCTGGTGTTACAGCAGCAAAAATATCATAGAAAAAATTGTCACACAAATGTGGAACTTAGTAAAATGTATAAAAATAATATAATAGTAAAGACTTAAAAGATATACAATAAAATATTGTACTGTCAAGTATTTTAACAATATAAAACTGCACCTGGAGAATAAATAACTTATATCCAGCTATGGACATTTTTACAGTAATTTGAAAATAGCAGCAACATCAGAGATGTGCATAAGAGCCGATGTCACAAGTGAATTTTTCCATTGCGAGATCAATAAAGTTCTATTCTATTTACCTGGAAGACATCATGATGACAAGCAGCTGTGTCTAAGCTGACCACATGGCCATGAAGCAGACCCGATTCCATCTCGCTGTAACATGTGGTTCCCTGCCTCCAATCTGGACCTGGATAAGCAGATTAATTCAGACATAGGAGAACGCAGAACACTCTGCAGACTATAGGTTGATCAAATCTGCCAGAACACGTCTGCATCATCGCCGTTTGAGGCTTCAGACGGAGGGAGACTTATTCTCTACACGCAACCTGCTTCACTCTCTAACACTAACAGACCCTTTAGGATTCAAACCTCTGAACTGTTCTTAACCACAGACGTCTAACTGTGTTTTTATGGGACAAGCCGACACAATGAGGGGAAGAAAGCTGTTAAAAAAAAATAATTTAAGCAAATAAAATATGGCACACATCTGTGTTCACCTCCTGGATTCACACTTTTGGTCTTCAGGGTTTATGTCTACCAGCTTTATTATTGAAAGTATTTATTTGGTTAAACACCTTCCTAACAATGAGTGGCTGCTTTGAAGGAAGGAAGTTTTTCCTCTCCACTGTCGCTACAAGCATGCTTAGTGTCAGGGATTGCCTTTAACCCTTTAAAGCCCGATCCAAGAATAAAACAAAACAGAAAATTAATTTTTTTTGGTTTGAAGTCCTTATTTGGCCTTTTAACAAAATATGTAAGAAGAAAAAAACAGAAATACAATTTTGATATTAATAATTTATTACTATGCGATAAGTCCAGATTATTTTTTGTGTAGTCTTCTGCCCTCTGTTATCAGGTATATCTGATTGTGTACAATAGGATTTTGAGCAAAGTTTTTACCATTAAATTATGCAAAAGGTGTCAGACGCAAAACACTTCAGAAACCGTATGTATCAAATACGATACATTTGGCATTACAGGGTTAAAGGAATAGTACACCCAAAACATGATTAGCCTTCATTTTCTACCCACCCCCATGCTGAACAACACTCTGGAGTACTTTTTTGATATCTCAAATGCATCTGGAGATCTGGGAGGCTTCTTGCTGTCTGCTGACATTCAAATAATGGAGGTCTATGGCGCCCGAGACAGAAAGGTCCATAAAAGTCCACAAAAAACGTGTCAATATTCCTCCATACTGCTCGTCCAATGTATTCCAAGTGTCCTGAGTGGGTAGCATCCAGAATTTACTCGAAACGAAGTCATTTAGAATGTTTTTAGAGCATAAACAGTAGTGTATAGGATTTCCTGAAAGCGCGCACACGCGCGATCACGAGCCTATGGAAGCCGGCAGACCAAACCAGCGCATTCAGCTCGGCAAAGAACTCATGCTCTTCCTCAACACTGAAGTCCTCAGACATTTTTCTTTCGTTGTTTCTTTCTTTGCACAGGTAAACAGCACATTTCTTCTTCTACGCTTGCATTATTGGCAGAGCAGATGCTGAATGCGCACTTTCATCTGGTTTGGTCTGCCGCAGTTTCCGTAGGCTCGTGAACGCACATGTGCGCGCTTTCAGGAAATCCTATACACTACTGTTTATGATCTAAAAACATTCTAAATGACTTTGTTTCGAGTAAATTCTGGATGCTACCCACTCAGGACACTTGGAATACATTGGACGAGCAGTATGGAGGAATATTGACACGTTTTTTGTGGACTTTTATGGACCTTTCTGCCTTGGGCGCCATAGACCTCCATTATTTGAATGTCAGCAGACAGCAAGAAGCCTCCCAGATCTCCAGATGCATTTGAGATATCAAAAAAGTACTCCAGAGTGTTGTTCAGCATGGGGGTGAGTAGAAAA